CTCCAAGGCAAGTAGCAGGCTGTTTTTAAGCCTGGTGATGACACCATGGCTAATACCTATATTTTTACCGTTTTCATCTATGTATAAGGTTTTCCACTTTTCTTCTCAACATTTTACTGTAAAAAATTTCAAACAGAAAGGTTGGAGTCTTCAGTGAATACCCATATTCCACCATTTAAATTCTGATTAACTTCACTATGCTTTTTTTTTTATCTTCACCTGAGGACATTTTTCCATTTTTTGTTCAGATAGAGTGGGAGGGAGAGAGAGAGAAACATCAACATGAAAGGGACACATCGAGTGGCTGCCTCCCGCACAACTCAACCAGGGTTGGGGACAAACTGCAACTGAGGTTCGTGCCCTTAATGGGAACCAAACCCGGGTCTCTCTGGACCACAGGCCGATGCCCTAACCGCTGAGCCAAACCAGCCAGGGCAACTTTACTGTGCTTTTAAATTCATACATACGGTAATTTCTTTTCTATGTAGGATATACTTCATAATAAAAATTATTTAAGAGACTAAAAAGAAAACTGAGAAATCTTTCTTTTGAATTGTAGGTTTCTGAGGCAAACAGTAGTGGATTTCAAAGGAAATGGGAAAATGGGGAGTCTCTCAGAAAAGAGATGAACCTGGCCGGTGTGACTCAGTGGATGGAGTGTCATCCCGTGGACTGAGAGGTCCCAGTTCGATTCCCAATCAGGGTTGTGGGCTTGATCCCCAGTAGCGGGCATGCAGGAGGCAGCCTATCTCTCCCTTCCTCTTTCTCTAAAAAGTCAATCAAAACGTGCGCGCATGTGTGTGTATACATATACATATATATATATATACACACACACACGTGTGTATGTGTGTGTGTGTATGTATGTATGTATAAATATGAGAAATGTCTTGTTTTCTTTGGGAAACAATTAGCATGAATTTTCTTTCTTACAGCCAGTTGTAGATTTTTTATATTGACCAATCTACGTTAGCTAATGAAACTCCAGAAGTAAATTCAAAGTTCTCTGTATTACATATGTGTTGATTTCTGTCTGCTTCCAGAGAACTTTGAGGCACATTGTCAAGTGCAGTTGTATATAAAGGAGTTCTTGCGTGCACACGTCTGTTTATGAAAGGGAGCATTCTAAGGAGAGTATCTTTCAGTGATGTTTCTGTTAGAGAAAATGAATAATTACCCATAATTCCATCATCCTAGCAGATTTTTTATATTATATTACATATATACCAGTCAGTGCAGTGTATTTATACTTTATTTCCTTTAACAGATACTTTTTAAAATTTTTATCCTCACCTGAGGACATTTTTCCATTTTTTTGTTCAGGTAGAGTGGGAGGGAGAGAGAGGAAGAGAGAGAGAGAGAAACATCGCTGTGAAAGGGACACATCGAGTGGCTGCCAACCGCACGACCAACCAGGGCCGGGGACAAACTGCAACCGAGGTACGTGCCCTTAGCGGGAACCGAACCCGGGTCTCTGGACCGCAGGCCGACTCTCTAACTGCTGAGCCAAACCGGCCAGGGCAACAAATACTTTAAAAAAAAATTTTTTTTTGTGGTACATGCCCCTAGCATGAACCAAACTCGGGACTCTCTGGTCCACAGGCTGACGCTCAGTCGCTGAGCCAAACTGGCCAGGGCTAACAGATACTCTTCATATTTTATTTTTTAAATCTGTTACAGCTCTTAATACTCCCATCACATTGAGGAACTATAATTCAATTAAACCATCTTTCTTATTTTAGGTGGTATCTGTTCTACTTAGGAAAAAATACAGGAGCAGCATCAGTGAACGAAGCAAGTGTGTTTATGGTGCTCACCATGTATTGTCACTTAGTTTTTAGCTAAAAGTGCGGCTAGAAACACGTAAGTGGTCCCAGTTTATTATGGCCTTGCCATGCTGTTACATTGCAGAGTTTGAGACATGATCTCAGGGTGAATTTTGTTATTTGCAACCAATTACGGGATTTTTATCATAAGTTAGTCTGTTGCTCGTTAAGCTCTAGAAATAAACCCAGAGGATTGCTGTCTGTCTGCTTCCCCAGGTTGTGAGGTGGGTTCTGGAGTGTGGTTACTGTATGCAAAATAACACTGTTTTTTTTACAAAATAAAATAAAACTGTTTTATTACAGTTGCTTAGATCTGAAAAACGGTTCGGTGACTGAGCACGCAGCCGCAGAACCGCCGCCATCCCACTCAGTGTGCAGTTGGCTTGCTTATTGACATTGGGCAGAAATTTGCCCTCAGGAACTGCCAGCTGCAAACACTGGGCTCAGTTGTTCCTGCAGGTGGCGGGGCCAGTGTGACTGCTCAGGGTGGCAGCCTGCTCAGGGTGGCAGCCTGCTCAGTTCTTCATGCGCTCGTAGACTTCCTGCAAGTTTTATTGTCTTCAGTGGGTAAAGTCTGTTTTGATGTTGTCTCTTCAAATGAGCAGCAGTCAGTATTCATGTCCCATCCAAAATTTTTCCTTTTTTCTGTGATAGTTTCTTTCTGTTTTTTTAAAGTTCTGATAAGTGATTGTTAATTAAAGTCCAGTTAGTATTTTAAAGTCAGTAGTATCATTTCCAATAAAATAATCACAAAGGTAGTACAAGAAACTAAAGATAGTATTAAGAACTAAAGATCACCCTGAAAACCAGGAGTTGGTGGCAGTGTAGGAGTTAGGAGAGAGGCTGGCCTTCCCCACCATGTTTGGTGAGATGTTTTTCTTTTCATGAAGTCCAATGTATCTGTTTTTTCACAGGGATCTCCAGTCTTCCAGCACCATTTTGTTTTGTTTTTTATCCTCACCCGAGGACATTTTTCCATATTTTGTTCAGATAGAGTGGGAGGGAGAGAGAGAAACATCTATGTGAAAGGGACACATTGAGTGATTGCCACCCACATGACCCAACTAGGGCCGGGGACAAACTGCAACCAAGGTGCATGCCCTTAGCGGGAACTGAACCCAGGACTCTCTGGACCGCAGGCCAACGCTCTAACCGCTGAGCCAAACTGGCCAGGGCAATTTTGTTAAAAAGATTTCTCATTCCTTCTTGTTGCTTCCAATTCTGTCCATCTGTCTATCTGCCTTTAGCAGTATTTCGCTGTCCTGATAACCGAAGCCCCCAGTACATCTCAGGTCCAGGCCTCTGTTCCTCTCTTGGGACTCTGTTTCAGTTCACTGACCCACACCCTACTCTGCTGTTCAGCTTTCCAGTGTGTTTTTTATTTCAGATACTTTAGGATCTCCATCTGGTTTTCTGTTCGAATAGTTCTTTTTTTCTATCCTTCATTACAACATATTTTCTTTATGTCCTGGGCATAGTTATTAAAGCCACTGGCGGATCTCCGCTGTCTGGTTCCAGTATGTGGGTCATCTGCTTGATGTCCATCAATGGTTTTCTGAGCGGGGCTCGTGCTTTCTTGTTTGTGTCTTGGAGTAATTTTGACTTGGATTTAAAATGACAGGTTGCAGAGAGTCTGAGGTGTATGGATTGCTTTTCTCTCACAGTTAGCCAGCCTGATTGAATGGGAACCATGCACTCCGTCTGCCAGGGTGTTGGCACCTGGAATCTTAATGGCTACATTGTGCTCCGGGTCTTTGTGTCTGCATGGTTCAGGAGGCAGGGGAGCTGACGGAGAGTGTGGACCTGTCCTTGTCCAGCCTGGTCCCATGGCGAATCCCTGCCCTCACTGCTGGCAGCAGGCATGGTGTCTGGACTGAGCTGGTCCGCGTGTGCAGGCAGACCCTCCCGCAGTGCTGCAAAACCAGAAGCCGCCCCTGCCATTCCCATCCTGCAGGTGCCGGGTCCCTCTCTGCGTCTGCCCACTGTCTCGTGTGTTCCGTGTTTTATGTGTCTTTTGGAGGTTGTGTTTATTTGGAGTGTGTTTGGTCCAGTAGGACATACTTGACACAGAGCCCTTCGTCACTTTCTTTTATTTATAAAGCCTTTCTTCTGATCAGTAACACATATTCATTGTGAAACGCTTGGAAAATTTAGAAAAGCGTGCACACACAGACACACACTCGCACGCACACACACACACTTCCTGTAATTCTCTCCACAGAGATAACCATTGTTCACATATCACCTGTTTTTCAAATCATTCTTTTCTTCTGCCCCCCCATCTTCCTTAAATGTAACTGGGTGCCCACTCTCCCCTTAATTACTCTGAGCTGTCCTTATGGGAGGCAGTGGCCTGTAGCCTGGCTGGAACCGGTCATGTCTCATCCACTCCTCAGGCTGCAGGGGTCAGCAGCCCTTCATGGGACAGAGACTTTGTTTAGGCATCTATGACTTTTGCATTTAAAGTGCTTCACTAAGTAGAGTGTTCATCATTGATTAATTTAAAAAAAACTAGTGATCAGCAGTTGTTAGAAGTCAACCTTAGGTGTTGAGTGTCCCTGCAGGGGTGGTGCAGGCACCATGCTCAGTGCTCTGGCTTGGCCAGCGGCTTTTCTTCAGACGTGGACAGCGACCTCTGCTTCACACACTAAATATATCACTGAGGGTGCCAACTGTCCAAACACCATTTGAAGGGCCAAGTTAATCACACTGTTCATTGGGGTTTTAGTGTCATTTTCCTGTAGGAAAGCATTTCCAACCTTTCTTTTCATTATTCAGCTTTTGTTTTGGGAATAAGTGGTGACAGGCAGTGTAACTGGCCAGGGAGGCTAAGATGGAGTCTCTCGGACTCCCGCACCCTGCAGCAGCCCTCCTGCTGCTCAGCGAGAAAGCAGCTCGTGTCTGCAGGGCAGGTTCACATCGGTCTCAAGTCTCACTTAAAACCAAAGCGATAGATAACTTTTACAAGTCCTTTTTTTCCCCAGAGGTAAGTTAGAACTTTAAATTACTTACTATATAGAAATACAGTGCATATGTATATTTAAATACATGGGGTAGGTGATATTTCTCTTATTAACAAGGAATGAGGTCAATACATGGGGTAATTATGATAGTTTTAGTCATTCTTGTAATGTACTTAAATTACCAAAATCTGATTCTTAAATTGTTTTTCAGCAGCAAGCCCTCGCAGGGACCCTGGTGGCAGGGGCTGGAAGTTCGATAGAAACGGACCCCTTTAAGAGGCAACCGGCAGGACCCCCAGCAGGTATGTCACGGGGCACAGGCTCATCCCAGGAACCGTAACTGCGGCTCAGTGGCCCTGTGTTTCTAAAGTGTAACACTGAAGAGATTTGTTTTGATCAGTTTCTTTCTACTTTGAAAGTTAGTTTTTGTTTTGGCGAGTATGTGAATGTGCACATGTACTTGAAGGTGCATGCAGGCTTATCAGCTCAGTAGGTGTATTCCATTTTGACTTTATAAGTGCATTTCTGGGCTTTTTAGTCCTCATGATATGATTGAATGTAAAACCACCTGCTTTTTCAGTCGTTCATTTTTTCAAAATGAATTTTTTTTCTTCAAATTATAAACTTTTAATATACTTCTATATAAATTTTTTAAACAATTCAAAAGGTGTCACTTAAACCTACCTCTGGCTTGGTATTTCCTGCCAGCTCCCTAGCCACAGAGGTAGCTGCTGTTAGCACTTGTGCACTTCCACAGACATTCTGTCCGCACAAAGCATGTGACGTGTCATTCTGAAAAGCTCAGTATGGTCATGTGTCCATCGTTGTCTCCAACATTGACTTGGTAGGCCATCTTTCCCATTCATGGTCCTCATACTTTTTTTGTTGTTGTTAATCCTCTCCCGAGAATATTTTGTCATTAATTTTTAGAGTAGAAGGGAGGGGGTGGAGGGAGAGAGAAACATTGATGTGAAAGAGACACATCGATTGGTTGTTTCCTGTGTGACCCCAACGGGCCAGGGATCGAACCAGCAACTCAGGTACATGCCTGTGACCCGGAATTGAACCTGAGACCCTTTGATGTGCAGGCCAGTGCTCTAATCGCTGATCCAAACAGGCCAGGGCTGGCCGAGTACTTTTTTAATGGCTGCATGGTATTCCATTGCCTGGGCGGGTCCTCCTCTAGTCATCGGACCCTGGTTAGTGTTCGTTAGTGCCGTCTTTTTTCTGTTACAATCAGCACAGGTTTGAACACTAGTCTTATTTTTTTTCCTACATGTTTATCAGTATATCTTTTTTTTTAATTAATATTTTTTAATCCTCACCCGAGGATATTTTCCATCTATCTTAAGATAGAGTGGGAAGGGATAGAGAGAGAGAGAGAGAGAGAGAGAGAGAGAGAGATGTGAGAGAGACATATTGATTGGTTGCCTCCTGCACAACCCCCACCAGGGCCGGGGACCGAACCGAAACCAAGGTACATGCTCTTGACTGGAATCGAACCTGCAACTCTTTGGTCCCCAGGCTGATGCTCTAATTGCTGAGCCAAACTGGCCAGGGCTGTCAGTGTATCTTAAGGAAAAACTCCTAGAAATGAACTCACTAGATCAGAGTGGACGAGCAGTTAAGTGTTGGTGATGTTCAGTTGCCCCTCCATAGAGTGGGGCCAATTTTCATTTCAATCAACAACTTTTGGTTCTTGCACGTTTTTGGCTATTTTGTTACGTATTTAGTCTTGGTGGATATGATGGGTTAATATTAACTTATTTTGATAAGTTCGCACAAAACTTTTTTCCATTTATTAACCTTTTGCGGGTCTATCCCTCTGCGAGCCATTGTTTTCTGCCCATTTCGTCTGTCTGGCTTCCATACTCTCTGTGTTACTGTAGAGCTTCTGAATGTCGAGTAAGCCAGCCTGTGCCCATCATGTGTGTTGCAGATATTGTCTCTTAGGTTGTTGCTTGTCCTTTGCCTTTTTATGATGCTTTTTCTTACATTTGCGAAATTTTAACGAAAAGAAATATTTATCAGTCTTATCTTTTATGGCTTCTGGATTTTGGTTCATGCACAGAAAGGTCTCCCTGTTCAAATATTATGAAAACACTTACACATGTTTTTTCTACTACTTTTGTGGTTTTATTTTTAAATCAAACTGCACCTTTTCTGAAAATTATTCTAGAGCAGTCTAAGCGACCTCGACTTGAAGTGGGTCACCAAGGGGTAGTTTTCCAGCACCCAGGGGTGAATACAGGAGTTCCTCTCCAGCAGTTAATGCCGACAGTTCAAGGTAAGACCCAGCGGAGAGCCAGCTCCTGTAGCTCAGAAGGAGGGCGTGCGGAGAGGTCTACAGCAGTGCAGACCGAAGCGCGTGCAGTCGAGCTGGTGTGGTTGGAGTGGCTCCTGAAGTTAGGGTGTTCCCTGAGCCACAGTGACACAGTGTGAAGACCCCCCCAGACTAGTTCTTGTCCCTTTAATGAGCCACACGTGTCCTTGTCCTCAAGCTTCTCTCCAGTTTCCACTCCTGTATTTTTGTAGTTGCTGCTGCAGTAGGGACCCCTGTGGTTATTCAGTGCTGTCCTGCTTGGTACTAACTTGCAAAGGTCCAGCGCCTTCTGTCCTTTTCTGTGTGCTCATTGTAACATTAGATCTAATATAACACAGACTTCCCACCAGTTAAACTTCCCGTTTGCTTGATGGTTCTGAGTGACGGGTCTGTGACAAACCCTGGGAGGTGACATCTGATTCGTGGTTGACGCTTTGGAGCTCCAGAGTCAGTGCCTGTGGGTCTTTCCTTTCTTGCAGGAGGGATGCCTCCCGCCCCTCAGGCCACCCAGCTGGCCGGACAGAAGCAAAGCCAGCAGCAGTACGACCCATCCACAGGGCCTCCAGTGCAGAATGCCGCCAGCCTGCACACACCACCGCCACCACTGCCCAGCAGGCTGCCCCCAGCCGGCCTCCCTGCTGCGCCCCTGCCACCTACGCTGCAGTTCCCACCACAGCCGCCGATGGGGGAGCCACCGACACAGCTGCATATGGCTGCGAAAGCCCAGCAGCCCAACACCCCTGTCCCTGTGCCCCCTGCCAGCCAGCTCCCTGTGCCCCCACAGCCCGCACAGTCAGCCCTGCTCGCCTCGGTGCCCGGGAAGGCGCAGATGCAGGCCCCTCCACTGCCCTCCCAGCCGCAGGTACTGTGGACTTTGGGCTCTGAGGGGTGGAAGTGGACAGGCTGGTGTGATAGGAGGGCGCTCTGCTTCCACGTCACAGGTCAGCCAGCCAGCCGTTGACATGGTCTACTTGTGGAATAGGTGCTGCCTATAATTGCAGTTGTCGTGATTGGATTATCAGGAAACAGTGTGGTTCAGAGGGAGGCGACAAGCCTGGTGGTGGTGAGGCTACCCCTAACTGTCTGCCAGGCTCCCCTGAGGGCCTCCCTTACTCTGTGCTCTGCATACATGTGTCCAGGGGTTGTCTGAGCAGTGAGTGTGCTGGAGCCTCTTCAGAGAGTCTCCCTCACCAACAAGGGCTTTCCTGGGCTTTCAGCTCATCTTTTTCCTGGTTCCTTGAGACTCGTGGCAGAGTTTGCTCGGTCTTCTAGAGTAGTCAGAACCACCATTTCCTCACCAGCCGGGTATCGTGTGCCCTGGTGAGCATGTTGTCAGCGTTCTTTTATTTCTTCTACCTGGTGGCTCTGTGAGGTAGAGTCTTTATTGTCCCCATTTTACCTATGAAAAGACTGAGGCCGGAGAGGCCTAGTGTCTCAACCAGCAACCTGAGGCTCTGATTCGCCACCCGGGTTCAGTGGGAACCTTTCATGCAGGTGACATCAGAGCTCTGTCCACCTGCCTCCAGAGGGAGGGCGCCCGCTGGGCAGATAGGCAGCCTTTCCAGCCATCACGTGCTGGGTCTCCGTGGCCCTGAGTCTTGTAAACACGTGCTGACTTCAGGCGGCACGGAGGCTTCTCTTGGATCTATTTTCCTGTCCTTGTTTAAGGATCAGCCTTGGAACGTGATTTTAAAGAAGCTTCTTACAAAATCCACAGAAACTTGTCGCTTCTCAATTGGGGGGTTGTCGAGCTTTGTCTCGGGCAGGAACATACATGCTCAGGCTTTGCAGCCATGCGGCTCCTAGTCAGCTCCCGAGCTGGGCTGCTGACCAAGGTAGGAGGACATTACTGCTGGTGTGAAGACAGGCTGCATGTCACGAAAGGCATGGCCGTGGACAGTTTCTGTGTTCCCCACAGCCCTGGTTACCAACCTGCTGTGTTTTACATCCGTTGTCCTCATCCCCCCTGGTTGTGGCAGTGCCTGGCCTGCCCTACTGTCAGCTGACCTTCATCTTCAGTGGGGGTTGGGATCCCCTGCCTGTGCCCTGGTCTCGGTTGCACAGACAGAACTCTTGCCCGCAGCGTGCCAGCCATGGGAAGGCCTTGCAGTGCGGACTCATCCTCAACAGGAAAGGGGTGTGATGAGCGCCTTGTAGTTCTTGATTGAAATGTAGCTGACACAGTGAAAACGCTGAAAAATCACTAAAAAGCAGAGGAGAAAAGGCTGGAAGAAAGAAAAAAAAAGTCTGAGCTAAGACAGCATGAGCACAGTCCATAGTGGGTTCTTATGTGACAGGCTGTTTGCTTTGGGCTGTAGTTTGTGTGATCATGTGTGTGTTTGCATTGCTGTGAGGAGGGACCATCAGGTGTCCTTACCTGTTGCCTCTTTCCTGCCCACCAGGTGGTGATGTCTGCAAGACCACCCACAGATCCCACGCAGCCCGGTCCTCGGCCCCCACCCACCTCCTCCACCTCATCCATCGCACCTGGCAGTGGCTCGGGCCCAGGACCCTTGCCCGCACGGGCCTCCCCAGTGAATAGACCCTCCTCAGCAGCCAGCAAGTCTCTGTCTCCAGTCACCTCCCGGTCCCCAGGGGCAGCTGTGTCGGCCCCCCCGAAACCACAGAGCCCAGCTCAGAATGCATCCGCACCCCAGGACAGTTCTCAGGATAAGCTGGCGGAGCAGATGGCACTGGTGAGGGGCTGGCATCTTTCAGCCTGTGACTCGAGGCTGTTGTCATGCTGGCATGCAACACTGAGGGTGGTCAGCATGCTTTGTGGTCAGGCATCCACAATTGGAACCAGTTGTGTGACCCTGTCCTGGAGGAGGGAGACTCATGGGGAGTCTTTTCTGTGCTGAAGTAGTGAGTGGTCTGGACAGCTGTCATCACAGGCTGTGGGTGAGGGGCCGGGACGAGGCATGTATTGTGAGGCGGGGGGACAGCGCTCAGAGCCCCCAAGGCAGAGAGAGTCATGGCTCAGCCAATGGCTCTTGCTGCTCATTGGACTAGGCAGTTATTTTGTTCAACTTTGTTGAGGAATTATAAAAGAAAGCAAAATAGAGGTGGAGTATGATAAACTCAGTGCTTCCTATCCCTGGTTTAATCCAGTGATGTGTGGCCAGTCTTATTTGGTCTCCCTGCCTTCCTGATGGCGTCAAAGTAGATCCCAGGCCTGTGTTTCTCTGGTACATATGAGCGTGGGCCTTGGCTGTGGTTCGGAGATGGCAGGAGTGTTGTTTTCAGCTTCTGAGGCTCTGGACAGTCACCTGCTCGTTCTTCTGACCGCATGTCCAAGTCTTACCTTTGCTGCTGAGACTGCCACATAGTAGGTCTCACACATGTGGGAGCAGAACAAATGACTTTGTGCTGTCCCCTTCCCCGCAGGAGAGCCAGATCCACCAGCGCATAGCCGAGCTGAGGAAGGGGGGCCTGTGGTCCCTGAGACGGCTGCCGAAGCTGCAGGAGGCCCCGCGCCCCCGCGCGCACTGGGACTACCTGCTGGAGGAGATGCAGTGGATGGCCACTGACTTCGCCCAGGAGCGGCGGTGGAAGGTGGCTGCAGCCAAGAAGGTGGGTGAGACGGGACCCCTGGTTGTCAGTTCGCTTGGGTGTGCTGAGAATTCAGTGCTGTGAGCTGTGGGTCTCCCCGCTCAGCTTCTGACAGCTCTCGGAGCACACGGGGCTGCATCTCACTGAGATCGTGTCGTCCTGGTCTGAGAACATATTTAGGAAACTGTGTTGCCCTGGCTGATGTGGCTTGGTTGGAGGGTCATCTGTGCAGCGAAGGGCTGCAGGTTAGACCCCCAGTCAGCACATGAGGGGTGCATCCGATAGACATCGGTTTCTCTGGCACGTAGATGTTTTCTTTTTCTCACCCCTCTCTAAAATCAGTTCTTTAAAAAACAAAGCTTAAAAAAAACCCAAAACTTTGTGTCTTTCTTATACCGTGATGTGACAGGCTAAACCATAAATTCTTGAACTTTTCTACACCAGCTTGTCAGGACGGTGGCACGCCATCATGAAGAAAAGAAGCTTCGTGAGGAAAGGGGGAAGCGAGAGGAGCAGAGCCGACTAAGACGGATTGCTGCCTCGACCGCTAGAGAAATTGAGTACTTCTGGTCAAATATCGAACAGGTATATCTGACGTTTTAATAGGGTCCTGAGACCTAGACATGGGGCTGGCAGTGAGGCAGAGCCTGCAGTGTTGCTGAGGAGGGTACTCACGGGTGGGTCCTGCCATCATGGCCCTCAGACTGCAGCTCCTTAGAAGGTTCTTGCTCTGCTTGTGGCTGTGCGTGGACACGTGTGGCTGCCACCAGTGCTGCATGATGTTCCACGCTCCCGGAGAGGCCTTCGCACAGCACCTTGGAAGTTGGGGCAGGTCACGAAGGGAGCTTCTCTCCAGAACAGCAGCTCTGTCTTCCGCCTCCTTTTTAAAAAATCCAGACCGCAGCACCTGATGGGACCAGGGCAGACGCAGTTAGGTGCCGAATCAGTGAGAGCCGACGGTGGTGCTTGCAGACCCCTGTGTGGTCTTTGTTTCCGTCACTGAACATTTTAGAGCTGCATTAGCTTACATCCTCGGTAACATTCTGTGTTTCACTCTTGTATTTAGGTTGTGGAGATAAAACTACAAGTCGAATTAGAGGAAAAAAGGAAGAAGGCCTTACATTTACAGAAAGTTTCCAGGAGAGGTATGAAACTTTTTAAAAAGCCTTACCTTTATTAGCCTGTATTTTGTCCCATTCTGTGCTCACTGGGCGCCTAGTGACAAGGTGGCTTCCCAGGGAGGCCGTTTGTTCCCAGCTGTGTGGACTTGTGGTGCACACTTTGCTCTTGGTGCAGTTGCTGTAGCCACATGTCTCCATTCTTTTGAGATTTGCTGGTTGAGTCAGAACCCTGATTGATGAGCTTTGGGGCATTCTCAGAGTTGAGGTCTGAGCCTGCCCCATTTGGACACTCCCTGGACAGGCAGGTGGACACCCTGAGGCATGTGCCCTGCGGAGCCCCTGTGTGTGGCCAGGGCACTGCCTTGCCGCAGTACACAGTAGCTGCCCTGTCATTCTTGTGGCCAAGCACTAACGAGGTGGTGTCACGGGTGGGGTGGAGTGGGACACAATGACTCCCGTTTTACTGGTGGGGAAACTGAGGTGGACAGGTGGCCGCTGCTGAAGCCACAGAACTGTAAGACCTGACAGAGCATAAGAAAGGAACTTTTTTGTTAGCTGCTCTGTTCCTCTCATGGTCTGAGATGTGTGGTTCCTGCAGAGGGCTCAGGGCTGCGGGCTGAGGGCTGCCGGTGAGGGCGGCGGTGGGGCTGGCTCTGCATCGCCCCTGGGCTACCAGGAGGGAGGTGGGCTCGCCTTGCTGTCTCCTCCACCGAGATGGCAGCAGGGCGTGGCCTAGACTAGCAGGGACACCCTCGATGTGTGTGAAGATTATCACCTCCACTGCTGTAGTGAACATGGATCCTGTTACTTGTCTCTCTAGGAAAGGAGTCAAGACCCAAGGGACCTGAGATGCTGCTGGAAAGTGTTCTGGTAAGTTCAGGACTGTCACCGCACCAGGTGAGAGCGGGAGCAGTGAGTCCGTCTGTGCAATGGAAATAGTCGTTTTTATCCGGAGAAACTTGGAGATTATGGGTGTTATTCCCTTTCATTATACAGTCAGCTTACCTTGGGGAACAACTAGTTCTCTGTAGCGTTAGGCTCACAGGGGTGTTGCCTTGGCAATTGGGTTAGAGCGCAGCGATCCTGTGGCCTTAGTCTTTCTCTGCTCCCCAGGCCTGTCCTGTGGCCAGAGGCTTGATGGCAGCATGCTTGTCACAGGCTCCTCATGTTCTCCCAGGTGCACATCAAACAGACGTTTCTGCTTTGGTTTTCATCCTGTGCTTTAGGATCGTGCTTTATTGTTTCAGGACTTGGGAGTACCTGGAAGAAAACGGAAAGCGAGCACCTCCCTCACTGATGATGAAGGTCTGTCCCGGTGCCTCTGCTGTCCCCTGTACAGGGCCCTGCACTCACAAGTACGGTGCCCACTTGTTGCAACCGTGACCAAGAGCTGCTGGGGTCTTTGCCTGCCGGGTCCCTCGGTGGGTGGTGGGTTTGTGGGGAAGACATGAGGCGTGCTGGCCCGTGGAGCAGGCATAGCTTAGGACTGAGGGTAGCTTCTTTTCGGAAGGGAGGGGACACAGTGATACCTACAGCATGGAGCTGGCATGCGGCCTGCCTGGCTGTGGCGGGAAGATGCGGCCTGCCTGGCAAGGGCCCAGGTGGCGAGGGCTTGTGCTCAGTGGAGGGATGGCTGCAGGTGGCTGTGTTCTGCTGGGGGCACTGGTAGACTCTTCTGCACCAAGGGCCAGGTCTCTGTTGGGAGTGAGGTGTGGGGTACAGAGCCCAAGGCTGCTCTGAGATGGTGGCTGCACAGGATAGGAGCCCAGCAGACAGAACGGTAAGCTGGACAGTAGCTGCAGCCCTGTGGATGTGGGCGATGATGAGTCCATAGTGACCCCAGACAGCTTGCCCATGCATTCCTCTGCAGCAGGTCCAGCTGATAGATGAGTTCCCCTCACTCGAGTTTTGGCCTGAGTGGGTTTGTCATATAAGGAACAGCCAGGTTGTATCTCATACTCAGGGGGAAGGGAAAGTTGGGGGCCCAGTTTGCAGACTTAGGAATCTAAAGGCTTAGTGCTCAGTGTTGGAGCCTTGCAGTGTTGGATGAAGTGCTGGCTGTCTCACTGGCATTTGATGGCCATCATTGCAGTGGAAGACGAGGAGGAGACAATTGAAGAGGAGGAGGCGAACGAAGGGGCCGTGGACCACCAGATAGAACTATCTAATCTAGCCAAGGAAGGTAGGCCTCGGGCATCCTGCCAGAATGCTCTGTTAATCAGTATGAAAACATGTAAAAGTTTGTGTAAGGTAGAAAAACACGCAGTACATCGAGCTCTGTGACCAGCTACGCAGCTGAGCACAGAGAGAGTGCCGAGTGCTCACCTCCCCTCCCCTTGTCCCTTCGTGACTGTGCTCTGGACCTTGCATTTACACTTCTGCAGCTCCGTTCCCAAGCACTGAGGCATGTTCCTGAACACAACGCTTGCGTGTGTTGGAGCTCATACATGTCCCATCATAGGCTCACTTAGCTCTTCTGCTCCTGAGTTTCATTCACGTTGTTATGTGTTGTGTAAACTCACTGATTCTCACTGCTGCGCAGTATTACACGGGCACCCGTCTGCCCAGGTGGTCTGCTGGGCTGTTGGTGGGCCTGAGTTTTCTGTAGTTTTCTGTAGTCGTTGGGTGGAGGAGTTGGCTGGAGGATATGCGTGTGCCTGGCCAGCTTGGTGGTGATGTGCTGGATTTGGGGTAGAGGGTGTCAGTGTGCTGCGCGTCTCAGGAGCACTGGTGTCTGACTGAGCCTTCCTGCCCGTCAAGGGTGAGAATCAGCGTCTCTTCTCCTTTGCCCGTCCTGGTTCTGGGCTTGCGTCTCCGAGTTGTCCCAAGGGGTCTTCGTGGGTCCTGGACTGCGTCCTTCAGCTGTGTGCTGCATGGCCTTTCCCACTCTCATTCTCTCTGCGGCGGCTGTCGAGGCCCAGGGCTCGTTGTTTCAGTGTGGTCAAATCAGTCGACCCTGTTTGCTTTTAAAAACTGCTCTTTTTACTTCTACATCATAAGGATGTTTTCCTGCATCAACTACAATATTTTGTTTTTACTCTCATATGCATGTCTCTAACCCATCAAGAAATGCTTTTGTCTGTAGTGTGAAGTAAGAGTGTAATTTCTTTTCCCCCAAATGGGTAGGTGTCCCAGGGCAGGTGACAGGCCCGCATTTCCTCCTGACATTCAGTGCTGGCTCATATGGCAGGTTCCCAAAGTGCAGGCTCAAGTTCACAGACACCCAGTTGGGAATTTAGATTTGAATTTAGTTGGACTCATGGGTGTTGGTGGGAATCGCATCTTTAAGAAGCGGAACTTTTCCGGCCTCTGCCCCACTTACCCGTCTGTCTCCCTGACTGGCTCTCAGTGGAATGCTGTGACTGTGTGTTTGTGTCATTTGTTTTCAGGTGCATTCTACAGGGTGGGCAAAAGTAGGCTTACAGTTGTTGGTATGGAAAATATGACGTAGTTAACAGATAATGCAAGTATAAACTTTGTGTATTCACAGCTGTAAACCACCTCTTGCCCCACCCTATAGTTTTGAAGTTGTAGTAACTGGCATATTTTGAAAGTTACTTTTTATATTTGTTGCTGATATGTAGAAATGCAGTTGATTTTTATTTATTGATCTTCTATCCAGCGACCTTGCCGAATTCTCATGACAACTCTGTGTTAGCTCTTCATCGCTGGAGAGTGACGGCTTTCCCTTTTTTTTTTTTTTAATCCTCACCCGAGGACATTTTTCCATTTTTTTGTTCAGATAGAGTGGGAGGAAGAGAGAGAGAGAGAGAGAGAGAGAGAGAAACATCGATGTGAAAGGGACACACCAAGTGGCTGCCATCCGCATGACCAACCAGGGCCGGGGACAAACTGCCCTTAGCGGGAACCAAACCTGGGTCTCTCTGGACCGCAGGCCGGCACTCCAACCGCTGAGCCAAACCGGCCTTGGTCCTTTCATCACTTCTAGCAGTGAAGTGTGGACCAGAGGTGCCGGGGACGCTTGGCTTTTACCTGAGGGGGACCCTGTTAATGGAAAGGCAGTGCAGTGTGGCCAGTCCTCGCTGCTCTGCACACCCAGTGCTGCATGTCACCCTGCTGGCCAGTTGCACTGTTTGTCCTTGTAGAACTTTCTGACCACGGCAAGTGTCTCCTCAGCCTCCACCCTGCTTGCCTCCCAGCTGCTAGGCCTGCAGGCTGTGGCAGGTAAGCCCGTTCCTTGCTTGCGGATGTCCCCATGGGCTCTTTGAGCTCCTCATGTAGTGGCATGGTGGCTGGTCTCCCCAGAGCAAGCCCTTCCATCATTGCACACCACCTGGCCCGTCACAGGTCAGCCCTGGCCCGTGTGGGAGGGGCCGGATGGCGGCGAGCACTGGGAGCTGCGCACTAGGGCTGGTGCCACCACCTCCTGGTGTCTCGTTCCCTTCATTCACCGGCTGTGCTGAGGCTCAGGGCTCCTTTCGTGCCCTCAGGGACCTTTGAGCACTTTCTGCAGGTAGACGTGCATTTTTAAAAAGTTTGATTCCAAGTCGTTAGATTTTTGTCTAAATGGAGTGTTTTCTCCCACTGTATCTTCTGACTAGTTTATGTGTGTGAAGGGTGACTTCTGTGTGTTAAGTTTGTGGCAAGACCTCTGGCTGTGTTACCTTATTGTGTCGCCATGTTCACTGGTTCCTGTTTCCCCTCCTCAGCCATGCTGTGATGTGTGGCTTTTCCCAGCAGTTCGTTAGGAAACATTCAGTCACAGAACATTTGAAAGAGCTTTATTGTGACACCCACATGTATTTCACCACCAAGTCCACAGCTTTTCAACCCAGGCTGGTGGCTGATTCAAGTTGTGAGCAGGTGAAGCCACTGGGTTTTGATTAGTGTTAGATGCACAGTGCTTTTATTTATTTATTTACTTGTTTATTTTCTTTATTGATTGAGAGAGAGAGAAACATCAATGAGATACAACATCGATTGGCCTCCTGCATGCCCCCCACTGGGGATCTGACCCACAACCTAAGCTTGTGCCCTGACCGAGAATCGAACTGGTGACATCTTGGTGCAGGATCGATGCTCATCCACTGAGCCACACTGGCTGGGCTGCACAGTGCTTTTAATATTGCCCTTTGGGGGCACGTTTATGTGGCATTTGGTATTCTGACCAGACTTGACATGTAGCATACAGGTGTAAGTGGGACTCCGTGTGCAACGTGTAGACGTGAGTCTGGGTCCAACCTCCGGGTATCCCTGGACAGACTCCCGGGGTGGGAAAAAGGAGGCCAGGGGTGCTTCAAAGCTCTTCAGCTGCCACAGTTGTCCCAGGAGGTGGAGGGCCGCCCCTCACTGCCGTTGTGGGGCAGGCACTGTGTTCGACTCGCTGACACTGCGCTGCTTAGAGCAGCTGCTCCTGTGATCGGGACAGATTGTGGGCTGGTTTCCAGAGATGCTCCAGCCCACTGGTGCTGTTGCTGTAGAGTAACCACCTCTCTCCCTGCTCCTTTCCAGCTGAGTTGCCCCTTATTGATTTGATGAAGTTGTATGAAGGTGCCTTTCTGCCGAATTTCCAGTGGCCTCAACCTCAGCCTGGCGGTGAGGAGACAAGCGAGGAAGAAGGTCTGTCTCAACGTTGGCAGAGGGTCCAGCTGTGAAACAAAACACTCCTGGAGCAAGGGTGCTCAGACGTGCTGTGGCTGGCATGTGATTGTGTGTTGACTAGCACTTTGCTGAGCCCTGTGCTCTTTTTCTGTGTATAAATTTGGCACAGTCATCAGAACACTTGATCAGATTGTGACCAGTTGATTTTCTCCTAGTTAGAAAAGTCATAGTTTTGTGGACCTAGATTTTTATCACATTTATTCCGGCTGCACTGTTTAACACACCAGTTTTAAGGAGTGTATTTCACTTTTATTAAACATTCTAAACATACACAGACTACAGCAAAACTGCTTTTCTTGCTATCATTGCACTTGTTCTGATTATTAGACATGATGCCTGTAAGTGGGAGATGGGATGCTCTCAGGACCCCCTATTGCAACAGGACTAAGGGAAGTTCTTGCCTGGACTTGGAGATACTTCTAGTTTTTTCTTTTCTGCTGGTGGAGGGGCGGTCACAAAATCCTCAGGTGCCTATAAATCTGTTTGTGACACCAGCTCCTAACTGCTACGGAGACATTTTCCAGGTTCACTCGAGGACTTTCCAGAGTGGTCCTAGGGTTGACAGTTTCATACGAGTTTGTACCTGTTTAACCAGAGAACATTGTTAGGTATATAAAGTGGATCAAAACAAAATTGGAGTTAAATTCTGTATTTGAAATATTTGGATTTTGTCAATTTTTTTTTCTTCTTTAATGTTAAGTAGGCTGATAAAAGTATGAAAGCATCTGCAAATCCCATTTTCCATTGTTACAGACGTGGAAGACAGCCCCGGTGACCAGGAGGGCCGCAAGGACGTGGTTCTCATAGACTCGCTGTTCATCATGGACCAGTTCAAAGCTGCAGAGAGAATGGGTGTCGGGAAGCCTCACACAAAGGACATCACGGAAGTGACCGCTGCAGCCGAAGCCATCCTGCCTAAGGGCAGTGCTCGGATCAGCACCTCGGTGAGGCGCTTTGCGGGAGGGACAGAGAGGCTTCCTGCTTCCATGTAGTTCTTTGCCCCAGCTGCCCCAGACCAGACTCTGGCCTTTCTTTTCCTGTCATCTGGAGATCTTTTTTTAAATACGCTTTTATCGATTATTTAGAGAGGAATGGAGAGAGATAGAAACATTGACATAAGAGCGAAATCTTGCTCTTCTGCCTCTTGCACGCCCCCTACTGGGGATCAAGCCTGAAACCCGAGCATGTGCCCTGAACGGCAATCAAACCAGGACCTTTCAGTCCATGGGGCGACCGACACTCAATCCACCGAGCCACACCAGCTGGGCTGGAGGGTTTTTTTGTGGCTGACCTCAGTTCACTTTGGAGAAAAAGCTCAGTGATAACCTGAGAAGCACTCATCGGCCTGTCTGTCACTGCAGGTGAAGCCAAGTGCCCCACCCCTGCTGCATGGCGTGCTCAGAGACTACCAGAAGATCGGCCTGGACTGGCTGGCCAAGCTCTACAGGAAGAGTCTCAATGGCATACTGGCGGACGAGGCTGGGCTGGGTAAAACCGTGCAGATCATTGCTTTCTTTGCCCACCTAGCTTGTAATGAAGGTAAGAGCTTGTTGGAACAGCTCACGTTGCTGAGGCTGAAGTGCAGGCCAGTGTCTGCTGAGCGAGGGTGGGGAGTGGTCTGTCGTCTCTGCTCCTTGCTCCGGGCTGTGGTCCGGGACCTGAGGCAGCAGGTTGCACGAATGAGCAAGAGACTCTTTCCCAGTCAGCACTAGATGTGAGCCCACCAGGGCTTTGTGAGTTCCTGAGTCCCTCTGCCTGCCCGTCAGTGTGTGGATGGCAGAATAGGCAGGCGTTGGCAGTGCCCCTGGGCACCACCACAGATTGGTGGGGAGGCATCCCTCAGTGTGACTGGAGGGAGTGCACTGCCGGAGCTACCGCTGCCGTGCTGCCCATCAGCCTCTGCGTCCGCAGCTCAAATCCTGACACCCCTGCCCTGGCGGCCACGGTGTTCCCAGGCCTGCTCATTTTCCTCATGGGTGGCTCTTTCTAGTGTGGGTGGTGACACTTCATGTTTGCGCAGTGCTAGCCGTCCAGGTGTGTGTTGCAGACATTTTTTCCAAGCCTGTCATTTGCATCTTTTCACTTGGTTTATGTTTAACTTCTAGCACAGAAGTTAAAAATTATGTGTGTTGTTCTAATAATTTTAAAACCCTTAGTTTTTAGAAGAATGAATTGAAGCCATATATTTTGGGATGGTTTGGATGTGTTGGCTAGAGGTTGGGAGCCTGCTTTTGAGTCGGTGTAGTGCTTTGGGGAATGCCCGCGGGGGATGGGACAGGGGCCATGGGCTGCTTGCTGCTTTCTTATGGGCGTTGTCCCTTGTCGATGGGAGTTCCTTCCCATGCTTATGGAGGTTTTGCCTTGTTCCTGAGTAAATATTCATTTTATTTGGTGATCACTCATCCAACCACTCTTGGCCAAGTGCCTCCTCAGAGTCAGGTCTGCCTCCTGCAGCCGCTGAACATGGGAGTAGGGAGGCACTCCGAGTACAGGTGGTATGGTGGGGAGGACAGCTCTGTGCCCTGCTTGGACGGCTGCTTTAGTCCTGCATGGAGACATCTCACATACAACACAGTGCTGGTGTCTAGATGACAGACGGCTTAAGTGCAGAGGAAAATGCCCCATCTTCCTTTCTCCGTAGGCAACTGGGGCCCTCATCTTGTTGTTGTGAGAAGCTGTAACATCCTCAAGTGGGAGCTCGAGCTGAAGCGTTGGTGTCCTGGGCTCAAAACCCTCTTATATGTTGGCAGTCACAGAGAACTCAAGGCAAAGAGACAGGTATTTCCGTTCGAACATGAAACAAAACCAAGCAGGAAATCATCCTAATTTCTGTAGGAGACAAATTTCAGAATGTCAAGACATGCTCGTTAGTGTAATTATTGTGAGGTACTAGGCCTTCAGGTTGTTCTAGATCTGTAGCCCCTTGGAAGCATCGATTCCACCTGCAAGGAGGCCACAGGTGTAAACGGCCTCTGGTCTCTTCCCGGAAAGGGAGGGGTTTCTTTCCAGAACGGAGTCGTCTCTGGAGTGAGTGCTGTGGCCTCTGCAGCTGAGGCCTGTTGGCTGTGGGCAGAAATGAGGAACAGTGCTTCTGGAGCCCATGGGTCCCATTGGTGTGTGAGGACCTTGTGGCATGTAGTGAGCTCCTGGGATGAATTTGGGTTCTTTTTTCTCTGCCCAGTGGTTTCTGCTACCAGATTCCAAGTGAACAGTTTCTCTTTGAAGATGAATTTTGGCTTATTGTTACACTGCTGTGTCGAGTAGCATTTACTGAAAAAAGGGGTACCTTGAGAGGTATTTTGATTTTTACTGTCTCTGGTCTTCATTAGTTGCTGAAAAGCTTATAATGCTGTTAGCTGCAGCACAGGTTTTTCAAGATTTCGACCTTCTGAGTGTGTGTGCCTTGCCCAGACTGTGCCCTGTGAGAGCTGGTCCCACTTCAGGACACAGTGCCAGTCTGCTTTCCACAGACCGCTGTTCCTGCCTCTGGTGCTACCTCTGAATTTGTCCGCACAAGTCTGTAGATTCCTGCAGCAAAGGCCGTAAAACACACACTCAGCCCTTCTCTGCAGGAATAGCAAGTTATCAAAAAAAAAACAAAACCAAATACCAGTAAGGTGACTGTGGGTGGGAATGGGTTAATTCAGAAAGCATACCCAGGTCACTGGCTCCACGAGGGAGGAGTGAGAAGACAGGTGAGTCCCTGTTCTGTGTGCCGCAGGGGTGGACCGAGCCCAACAGCTTCCATGTCTGCATCACATCCTACAAGCAGTTCTTCCGGGGCCACGCGGCCTTCACGCGGGTGCGGTGGAGCTGCCTGGTCATCGATGAGATGCAGCGAGTGAAGGGCCTGAGCGAGCGGCACTGGGAAGCGGTGTTCACCCTGCAGAGGTCTGACTGCTAGCCACTCCCCAATGTTCTCTGTCCTTGACCTAAGGGCTCATTTGTAGGCACACGCAGACATGCCTGTGTCCTTTGTCATAGTGCGTCCAGCCGCGGACAGCAGAGTGCTCGTTTAGTTCAGCTCTTGCTTCCAAGGCGCCTGGACACATAGCCCCCATAAGACCACCTTGTCCCTTGCATGTCCTCGGATGCACTTGTCCCTGTTGGGCTTTCAGATGTGCTCTCTTCTCGTGTGTGCAGCCAGCAGCGTCTGCTCCTGATCGACGCGCCCCTGCACAACACCTTCCTGGAGCTGTGGACCATGGTGCACTTCCTCATCCCGGGCCTCTCCAGGCCCTACCTGCACTTCCCGCTGAAAGCCCCGAGTGAGGAGAACCAGGACTACTACCATAAAGTGGTCATACGCCTGCACAGGGTACGTGCGGCACAGGGCGGGCTGCAGGTGCAGGTGACCTACGGTGATGTGTGGTGGCGTCATTCCCCAGGGTAAACAATGGGTCCTGTTCCCTTTTCAGGTGACGCAGCCATTTATCTTGAGGAGAACCAAGAGGGACGTGGAAAAGCAACTGACAAAGAAGTACGAGCACGTTTTGAAGTGTCGTCTTTCCAGCCGACAGAAAGCCTTGTACGAGGACGTCATCCTGCAGCCTCGGTGAGCGTGCCGTTCTCGCTTGGGCCTCCCTGGATCTGTTCTGCCTCTTCCTCAGTGCTCTGCCCGAGTGGCAAACCCAGGGGTGGCAGGCGCTCCGCTCCCACTCTTGTTGCTCCTGGCACTGTCCAGCATAGAAACACTCCTGACAGGACCTAGAACTTCAGGCTTCAGGCCAGCTGTGGCCACAGGAAGGCTGCATAGTCGTTTCCCCTTATCCACAGGGCATCTGTTCCAGGACCCCCAGTGGGTGCTTGAAACAACACCGAACCCTGTATGTACTAGACTGTACATAACATGCCTTTTCACAGTTGCACAGCTAGAAAGTTCATTCTGACTGTAGATCTTAGGGACCTCACCACATGATTTATTTTCTTTCCTTATTAAGTTGAGGATTTCCCCTTCCCACTGAAAGGAAGCACTTTGCGGCTTCTCTTGGCTTGTCCACATTGCTAGCACCCTGCTCTTTCTCTTTGGAGCCATTTTAAGTGAAATAAGGACGACTTGATCACAAGCGCTGTGATGTCAGGACAGCTGACCTGCTGCTAGGAGCAGGGAGCATCTGACGCTGGACAAAGGGCGGTTGACACCTACAGCAGGAGAGATTTTGTCACGCCATCCAGAACAGCACCCCACTTAAAATACCTGTAAATTATTTATATCTGGAACTTTGCGCTTGATGTTTTTGGATTGTGGGTAGCTGAAACCGCAGATACAGGAAGCCACGGGTCGGGGCTGCTGTGTGCTGCCCGCACCTGTCTGTGGACCCTGCAAGTGTGGGGCCCCTTGCTTCTCTCCCTGATCCGCTCCCATGACCTGTTTGGCTCTTTCCATCATGCCCTTCATTTTCCTGAGTTTAAATTTAAAAAGACAAAAGTAAACCTAGAAGGCAAGTTTTGAGGCTGTTAAGTACATGCAGTTGTACTCGGAATCACAGTGACTCCGCCCCTCACGGTAGCTGAGAAGAGCCTGTGGAGCCACCAGTTCCACACACACTCGACCTCGGGGCCTGAGAGGCGCCTGGCCTTTGGAACAGGCTCCCGTGTTTCTGTCAGGTGGGCCACCGACCGCTCACCTGGCTAACAAGTTTTGCTAGTTGTGGGATGAACGGGGTGACCTAGTGTATTGCCCCAAGGTGGCAGGTACAAGTCACTGGGGGGGGGGGGTTCTGGAGGAGGTGGAGTAGAAGGTGGCTCCTCCACCACCTGCTGGGTCACATCCAAGTGTAGGACGAGGGAGGAGCTGGGGCTGTGGGGCTGTGTCATGTGCAAAGCATCAGAATAGTGTCTGTACAGAGGAAGCCTTCAGCTAATGGCTGTGCTATTCATGCTGTTTTATGGGGTTCCTTCTGGAAAGTTTAGGACAGAATGTAAGTATGTGTTGTTGTTGGTGCAGATTCTTAGACAGTCTTCCCCTGACAGCATTCCCAGTGACAAATGTCCTTCCTGAGCCTTGGGGAAGTCCTGGGTGCATGAGCAGAAAGAGTACAGTACTGTTGGAGCTTGGGTGTCAATCAGATGTTTCAGTGGGTCCTAATGTCAGCTCGTGAAGGGTAGTCTCAGTGGCGAGAACAGCAGCTCACGTGGCGGTTAGGGCCAGTGCCTGTGTGTTTGGGGCTCCTGTGGAGTCCAGGGAACCGCCCAGCACCAGGAAGAAGCCACACTCAGGACGCCTGCTTCGTTTAAAGGGTCCCCTTCCCTGCTGGACGGAGGCCTGGGAGCTGTGCCATGTCTGACCCTTTCCTTTGGCTCTCTGGCTCCCCGTCCTATGTCATAGGGACACTGAGGGAGTCCATGGGTCATGAGCATCTGGACAGGGATTGGGCCTCTAGTGTTGTGACATAACCGAGCACGTCTGGGGCAGATGTGTGTCACTGTGTTTGTGGAGGTGGCGGAGCAGATGCCGAGTGCTTGTGTCTCCCGAGGCAGGACCCAGGATGCGCTGAAGGACGGGCACTTTGTGGACGTGCTGAGCATCCTGCTGAGGCTGCAGCGCATCTGCAACCACCCTGGGCTGGTGGAGCCCCGGCTCCCGCAGTCCTCCTTCTCCGCCGGGCCGCTGCAGCTCCGCTCGGCCTCCCTCGTCCTGAAGGCACTTGACAGGGATGCCTGGAAGGTAGGTTTGTTTGAGGCTGGTTTCAGCATTGTCCCCACTGTTCTGGGGGTCCCGATGCTGGGCAGCACCAAGCAATCTTTGTGCTGTGTTGTCCTCTCGACACGGCGTCCACGTCTAGCACTGACCCACAGGGCGGGCTTTCTTAGCATGGCACGTGCTGTGGGCCTGCGAGAGGCAGTGTGGTGTGTGCCTGATGGAGAGCTGCTCCCGGCTGTACTGACACCGCCTGGGACATTGGCATTGTTTCGGGCTCAGGCTCAGAGGCCCAGGACCTGGAAACCTGCTTTGTGTTGGGTGAGCTGGTGCAGGTGCAGGTTGGGGACAGGCCAAGGACTCTGTGGCTTCTCTGCCCCACCCCCCATGCAGGGAGGTTCAAGGTTTGACTAGTGAGTCTGATGACCCTGAGGTAGCAGGTGTACTGTGAGTGGGTCAGCCTGCTGTTGCTGCCACTACGGTCACTACTCAGGGACGTGGTCTTCAACGAGTCAAGGGACAGGGCAGCCCCAGGGAGCACAAGGCCTCAGACAGCTGACCTCTGCATGTCAGGGAACTCAGTTCATTGTGCTGTTCTTTATGTTATACTTCTTCTAAGAACTCGTGGAGATCATCTGTTACCCTGGACACCTCTCCTGAAGTGTACAGTGTGTTGGTTTTAATATATTCACAGGGTTGTGCAGCCATCACCCCAACCCTGGAGCATCTTATTACCCCCAAAGAGAATGCGTGCATGTTGACTGTCACTCCCATGCCCCTGGGTAGCCCCAGCAGCTCCTCGTCAGCACCTCTCTGTGGATTCATCCATGTCATAAAATTCACACGTTATATACAGACAGGGCCGTACGATGTGTGGACTTAGGTGTCTGGCTTACTGAGCGCAGCATAATAGTCTCACCATTTATCATGTTGTAGCAGGATTTCCTTCCTTTGAAAGTTGAGTGGTTCCCCTGCATGCACACGCCACGTTTCACTTGTCCATCAATTGGACATTGGATTGTTTCCACATTTGGCCATTGTAACACTGCTGTGGCACTATGCACAATTTTGTGTGGATGTGGTGTTTCCCTTGGATATAAATCTAGGTCTGGAAGTGCCGCATCATGTGTTGACTCTGATGAACTGCTGACTGCTTTCCGTGGCCGCTGTACCTTTTCCCTCCCGTCAGTGTGCGGGTGGGAGGTACACTTTCTCCACATCCCCGCCCACACCTGCTGTCCACCCTCCATGATCCTCGCCAAGGAATGAGCGTCCCAGGGCTCTGCTGTGAGACAGGCAACAGGCCACACATCCGCCTCCACTCCTGACAGCTCCTGGGTCTCCCCCAGGGTCTCCCCCAGCCCCTCCCTCCGCACAAGGCCCAGCACCCTATGCCATCCAGACTGTCCTCTGTCCTCTGCCGAGTCCAGTCTGTCTCTGGGTACTGCCTTCTCCATCCCCACAGCCACTCAGGGTGACCGAGTGGCATCATTCCTGTCTCAAAGCTGGGGAAGTTGAGGCATACTGACCCCAGAGCAGGGTGCAGGTGAGGTCTTCAGGAGCGCCTCTCAGGGCAGACTGCCTGGTTCTCATGTTTGTGAACCTACTTTAATTCTTAAGGGTTTTTCTACTGTCTCGTGGCTTACTTTTTCTTTTTCTACTTAGGAAACCGATCTTTCTATATTTGACCTTATTGGCTTAGAAGATAAAATGACTCGCCACGAGGCCGAATTGCTGTGTAAGAAAAAGGTGACTCGGAAACTCATTGAGGAGCTGTTCACTGCGCCACCCCCTCCTGGCAGGCCGCCAGCTGTCAAACTGAAGCCCAGCAGGTGTGCGCTATGAGGCATTGCCTGCGGCTCACCGTCCGGCTCTGGCTGGACCACGGGGTCTGGGTAACCCTGGGCCCCGGGCTGTGAGAAGGGAGACTGGTCGCCTTCTTGGTCATCTGCTTCTCCTGGAAATTGCCCAGACATTCTTGCTTTCTGCGAGCAGCTTGTTTTAAGTGGGATGCGTGGGCACTTTGCACTCGTTCATCTTTAAAAAGTGTTAGGATTTGGGAGGGTCTGTGTGGGGAGCAGTTGGGGACAGGTGGTCAGGCTGGATTAAACCTGGCAGTCAGCCTGGTAGGTGGTGTGGTGGTAGCTGTAGGGCCAAGTGTTTGCAGAGTGAGGCCAGAGGGGCACAGTGGGGGTGGAGATGGGCCTGCAGTGAGCAGAGGGCTCCACCCTGGTTAAGTGGAAGGAACACCTGAAATGACAACATCGCAGGTGCCTTGAGGTTGGGACGGGGTAAAACATGTCTGATGGCAAAGGCAAAACCCAAGTGACTCAGGAGAGGCTAATGCAGCAAGCTGGGAATAGACAGAATCCTAGGCTTGAGTTAAAAATCAGGGAAAAGATGGAAAATCAGTTTTCTAGGGACAAAGGGTCAATTCTGCCAACTGGTAGCCGTTCTCTTTGCCTCGTCTGTACGTGACTTCCCTGGGGACTTGGGCCCTAGCCCACACTGGCAGAGCCCTGCAGCCTCAGGACATTCACAGTGGTCACAGCTGGACACTCGGCTAGCCTTTTCCTGGCTGTCCCTACCTGCTGTGTCGCATGGGGGCTTTGCAAGTGCAGACACCCTGCACTGCTGTTCCCACGTGAGAGTTGCTGGCTGTGAAGAGCATTCTGCGTCATGCTAGAACCTGACAGCAGCCTCCGCGGGGTGGGCCTTCCTGCATGGGTTTACGCTCTGTTGTTGCAGAGGCGCTGTTACTGTGTCTGCTCTGTCGCCTGTGCTGCCTTGTTACCTGACGGTGCCGCTGACCTTTCACCCCGCTCACTCTACACGAGCATCGTGGGCTTTATGTGCCAGATCCCTTCTCCGCATTCACACTGACAGAGACGTCACTGAGTTGAAATTACGCCCATCGAGCAGGCATGGGGGACCACTTTCATGTGCCGAGTGCTGCCAGCACTGCACCCAGGACCCCACCCCACTTTAACTGGCACCGGGAGTGGGAGCCCCTCTGCTCAGGTCCTGCACCCCCAGGCCTGCACCTCAGTGATGCTGTGTCTTCTCGCCCACACACGACGTGCAGGTTGTTCCAGCCTGTGCAGTACGGCCAGAAGCCCGAGGGTCGCACGGTGGCTTTTCCCAGCACACACCCACCCCGAACGACTGGCTCCGCTGCTGCCCCTGCCACTCCACAGGGCCACGTTCGAGGACGGCCACCAATCGCCACGTTTTCTGCAAACCCAGATGCCAAAGGTATGTCTCGCGTGGCGGTGTGCTTATGTCACAGAGGGTGCTCCCTTGCCCTTTGACGCAAGACCTCTGCTCTCCCGAAGAGATACTTGCAGCCTCACACGAGTTTGAGGCTTTTTATTGATTTAAACTGGACTTTACACAACACTGCACTCTTAGTGGAGTCCTGGTTGGTGTGGTGATGAGGGTGCTCACATGGGGAGCTCTGTTCCAAAGCTGCTGCAGAGGCTGCTGTGTGTTTCATGCCCCTGCTTCATTGTCACCCAGTTATCAGGGCAGAGAAGGACGGGGTGCGTGGCAGGCAGGTGACAAAGGTAGTGCTCCAGCCCCAGACAGCAAGTCCTCAGGGCCATGTGCATGGTGGTTTTTGAGTGTCCAGAGCCTCTTTGTGCAAGCGCTCCTGGTGCAGCCTCTGTGTGCGCCCTTGTGTGTGATCAGGATTGCCTCTGACAGACACGGGGTTTCCATGGCTGACTTCTAACACCCATTTACTGCAGGAATGTACCGCGTAGCCTGCTGATTCGCTCCAAGTGAAAGTAGTTAACAACGGATAAAAAAATTGTGCTCCTCTCACTCTGTAGACCACGTTGGCCTCATCCCCTCTTTTTAGAGAGAGCTTCTCATTTGAGAGACAGTATGAAATGTTTGTTTTATTTCTTTAACATTCGGATTTAAAGTACTGCATTGCCTTCAGAACCTCTAACAGCTCTGCACAAACCGCCCTTGTCGATTGCAGCAGCAGCAGCCCCTCAGGCTCCCACCGGTGCTCCGAGACCCCAGGCCGCCTCGACCTGCAGCACAGCTCCTAGCCCAGCCCATCCTGCGAAACTGCGGGCTCAAACCACTCCCCAGACCTCCGCCCTGGGCCCGCCCCAGCCCCAGCCCCAGGCCCCCTCGCACCTGGCCGGGCAGAGCACGCTGCCTCAGGGGCTGCTGCTCACCTCGCAGGCCCAGGCGCGCCTGCCTAGTAAGTGGCCTCACCTCTCCCAGTGGTTCTGCCCCCTTCCCAGGAAGCCGTGCTCAGACCAGCAGTGTGCAGAGCCTTGCTGTCCACTCCTGTCCCCCATGCCAAGTGCTGCCTTCGCTGTACTGTCCTTTGCCCTAAGTCTCCAGGGCCAGTGCCCAGGGCCTGTCCTTTCTCTGTCCTTTCTCCTGACCCATTTGTTAGCTCTGCTTTCCTCCCGCGCTCACGCTCTGCGCTGTGTGCCGATGACTGCACCTCTCCTTACTGTCAGCCAGGCTTCAGGCCGCAGCACTGAGGTCAGCTTGGGGACAAATGGGGTAACGTGAAAGCAGGTCCCTTCCTTGCTTCTTGTCAGCCATGGTACTTAGTGTTTGGTTTCCACTGACTTTCTTTTCATCTCTAGTTACCAAATTTAAACCTGGGATGAATTATTACTCAATAAGACATTGTTCAACAACTAAAACATCACGATTTTATTAAATGTTTTCATCGAACTTTTCATTGTGACCAGTGCAATTAGCCTATTTCCAAATTTCACATGGACCTTGTCCATTCTGCTGTGGAAAATGCCTTTCCTGACACTCAGATGCCACCTTGAGCACTCATTTGTGGTGTGACAGGCTACGTTGAGGCCTTTGTGGAAGAGGAGAGAGGCGTGGTGTCCTGAGGACTCAGCAGCATTCAGGCTGGCTCTGTCCGGCCTCGCATCCATTGCCCGAACATGGTGGTCTGTGGTCGCTGCCTGTGGGATGTGTTTCTCGGCCCAGGATGGGACTCTTGTGGCCGTGCCACAAGCTGTGCTTGGGAGCATAGTCAGCCAGGTCGCCTCAGGCTGGTGGCCTTCACCTCTGCGTGGGCCATGAGGGCTAATGGGACTCACTCTGCGTGCAGACCTCTGTGTCTCCTTTTTCATTTTCCCGTCCTTATTCATGGTTCTGTGTGCAAGATGTCTGGATGTTTTTCTCATTTTTTGCTAACTGTCTTCTTTATGGTGTCACTAGTAATTCTTGCATGGATTTTCTTGGGAGGAATGTTTACACTCAAATATTAACCGTTGGGTAAAAAACCTTTAATCCTGTGTAATTGCAGCTTTTTTTGAGTGAGGTGCATGTAACTTCACCTGAGTTATGTTCCTAAAAAAGGTCCTAAGCAACGTGAAGTTCCACATTTCTCGACAGTAAACATTGCAGATCGGACCCTACACCTACGTCTAAACAGCGGGAGGCTTTCTGTCTCACAGCTGCCTTCACGCGATGTGTCTTTGTACCAACTGTGATTGCAGCTCACGTGCACCCTGCATCCAGCCGGGCTGCACGTGTGCTCGCTGCGCGGCTGTGCTGCGGGGTTCAGGGTGTGTACAGTACGACAGGTTTCCGCTGTGTGTGAAGTGTGCTCTTTATTTATTTATTTATTTTTTTTGGTACATGCCCCTAGCGGGAACCGAACCCGGGACTCTCTGGTCCATAGGTCGACGCTCCAAGCGCTGAGCCAAACCGGCCAGGGCAGTGTGCTCTTTATTTACTGGTTGGAGAGCAAAGGAAAGTGTTCCTTAATAGATTGGTTAATTGTATTAATATTTAATGTCTAAAGTCTCCACCAGTTACGATTGTAGACGTTAACTATTAAAATCTCAGGTAAACTTTGTTTTTTCTTTTCTATTGAAATAGTTGTTTTCTGGAAGTGTTAGTGAGCACTATGTGTCAGTTTTTCTGACACTTCAGGTGACTACCTACAGTCGCTCCCCATGACAGACAGGTTACTTACCCACGGTCACTCCCCATGACAGACAGGTTACTTACCCACGGTCGCTCCCCATGACGGACAGGTTACTTACCCACGGTCGCTCCCCATGACGGACAGGTTACTTATCCACGGTCGCTCCGCTTGACAGCTGTCAGTGTCACGGTTGCAGACTTGCCACAGAAGTTTTATTTCCCTTTTCTCTGTGTTCCTGCAGGTGGGGAGGTGGTCAAAATAGCACAGCTGGCTTCTCTCGCAGGACCGCCGAGTCGAGTTGCCCAGCCAGAGACACCAGTGACACTGCAGTTCCAGGGGAACAAGTTCACCTTGTCCCACAGCCAGCTGCGGCAGCTCACAGCTGGCCAGCCCCTGCAGCTGCAAGGTGAGAGGTGCTAGGCAGCTGGCCGGCTGCTCCTGGCAGTGGTGACTGTCAGCTCAGGCGCCTCCCTGTCAATGCCACAGTGAGCCTGACCTCAGAGGGTGTGACCTTGGAGGATGCTAGAAGGACCAGTGGGATACCGTGTGTACCTGGCTGCCCGCTCCTTGATACACATTTAGTAGATAGTAGTCGTTTTAAAAAATCTATCCTTTGATGAAAGTTTCCTATTTTCAAAGTCAGAATAGAAACATTTGTTACTTTCTAATTTTACCGTGAGGTGAATTGTCCTAACGATCTCAAAAGACTGGCAGTTTATGTGGGAGAAGCTGCGCTTTTACACAGCTTTCAGGGAACTCCAGACCAGAGCCTCCCAGGCCTGTGCCTGAGAGTGATGTGTCCATGGAGCGGCTGCTGTTTGAGGAAAAGGAGGTGCTGTTTGAGTGGCACGCTGGAGTCGGTCCTAAGTGATCCCATGGCAGCAGCCCTCCTCGGCTGTAGGTTTAGATTCTAGGGTGGTGTCAGTAACAGCACCCCCCCACCCCCGCTCCGGCAGTGTCTGGGAGACGTGCTGCATACCTCTCTTCGGGTCGAAAGATGGCCGGAGAGTCACAGTCGGCAGAGCTGAGGCCCTAGGAAGCCTGCAGCAAAGAAACTGTTCAGTCGGGTTAATTCCACATGTGCCCAGTGCTTCGGGCAGAGGGCGGAGCCACGGACTGAGCCCTGCTGGACGCGTCTCAGAGTGCGGGAGCCTTGCTGCAGAGCACAGATGTGGGGGACTCGGTCACGCCGATGGTTGAGGGGCAGCTCCTTCAGCAGAGCCACCGCATCTGCACAAAAACAGGTTTTAGGTATTTCTTCATCTAGCCGCTGGGTCGGCAAACACCAGCGTGTGATCAGGGAGCTGGGACTTTCCACCATGACTTGGGCCTTGAGCAGTCATGACAGACCCTGAGCTTGCGCCACCGCGCCGCCTCACGTCCGGAGTTTCTAGGGATAGATGAGCTTCCTTTTGATGCTAAGAAAAATGACGTTGTTCCTTAGAGTGGCTTCATTGTGAAGGAAGTATTTTCATATTTCTCCAAGTAACTGAACTTTGCATTGCATGTTGGGGTAAATGGGGTTTTGGATTTTACGTGTGTGGTTTTGTTTCTGTACGTTTGGAGTGGCTGTGGCCTGAGGTAAAGGCACATGGCCGTGACTGATCGTTCTGGGCACATGTGATTACAGGAAGCGTTCTTCAGATCGTGTCCGCCCCCGGGCAGTCCTACCTGCGACCTCCGGGCCCCATGGTGATGCAGACCATGTCTCAGGCGGGTGCCCTGAGCACCCTGGGAAGCAAGCCCCCAGCCAGCGGCCTAGGTCCCACTCCTGTGACCCCACCAGGTAGAGTGCTTTGAGCAGGAAGAAGACTGGCTGTGAAACTTTTTTCTGACTCTTTGTCTCGAAGGTAACTGGAAGGGGTTTAGGGTTTCTGACTGGGGCCTCAGAACCAAGGTCCCTGTGTGGCTGTGTCTGATTTCCACAGATGCCTGCTGTCCGCTTGGTTTGTTTCCTTTATCTTTTGCTCTCAAGGTTATGGGTTGACTATCACCAGCCTCCACTCACCTTAGATTTTTGTTTTGGTGCTAGAATGCCTCTGGGACAGGTAATGAGGCAGGGTTTGGCCCTCCTCCATCTGGCCTGGCCTGTGCTGCTGCTTGCCCAGCCCACGGCCTACTTCCCACCAGGGTACTCCTGCTCCCCCAGACATGGTCCAGCCTAATCACTGCTACCCTCCCCTGTGCTCCCCTAACCAGGGCCCCGAGTCCCCTGAGCACAGTCGGGGTCGGGGCAAGCAGCAGGACCCTGGGTGATTCTGGGATCACCTTGTGCTGAGCTGGAGGCAGTACCAACTCCTGGTGCGAGGGTGGACAGGTTGATGCTGATGGAGGGCCAGGCCGATGGCTGCTGTGGTGCTGTGGTGGCATGGTGCTGTGGTGCCTTGGTGGCGTGGTGCTGTGGTGGTGTGGTGGCGTGAGGGTGGGCACACACGAGCACTCACCAGAGGGAAGACAGGCTGCAGCACTCTGCTCAGAGTGTGGCCAGAGAGCAGGGGCGTTCACTGGCGGTTCTGAGCAGTTCAGGTGTGAGAGTACAGTCCTAGATCTGTGCCAGTGAGAGAGGGAGCTGATCCTGGGAGTGTGCTAGGCAGGGGCGGGTCTGCATAACAGCCAGAACTATTTCCAACTTTGATTTTTGATTTGTAGTTGGTGTACCTGGTCGAGTGGCAGTCAACCCCCTGACTGTAGGAGAACCCGGGGTGGCCTCCAAACCTGCTTCTCCCATCGGAGGGCCAACCCAGGTACGGCCCCTGTCCCGAACACTGGGTGGTGCCCATGGGCAGCACCTTCACCCAGAGTTGTCTCAGAGCTGCTTGTTACACGGGATGCTTCTGATGCTTAGCAGCTGTGTGTGCCTTCAGGAGAGCATCATCTGGGTTTTGTCATTTTGATTTTAAAAATACTTTCCCAGCAAAAGAAATGAAACTGGGCTTTATGATTGCAAGAATCCCCTTTCATGTATTTTTATATTCTTGTACCTGTGCGCTCACTGTCCCGAGAAGCTGCCTGTGCTCTTGTTGCCTTTCTGTCACTGTCGTGTGGGGCAGGCCTTGCTGTGGGTGCTCTGTGTGCAGGTCCTCACCAGGAACCCCCAAGGGCTGGGGGACTGCCAGCTGGCCGGTGGTTTCTCACTGACCACTTTCATCACTTTCTGATATAGGAGGAAAAGACCCGGCTTCTGAAAGAGCGGCTGGACCAGGTTTATTCTGTCAATGAGCGGCGCTGCTCCCGTGCCCCCGTCTACGGCACAGACCTGTTGGAGATTTGTTCCCTGGCCTGTAGAGAACAGATCCCGGGGCTCGGAGCTTCAGGTGGCAGGCGTGGGAAGGGGGCCAGGCCAGCGAGTGGCTATACATCACCCTCAAAAAGTCAGAAGGATCTGATTTTGACACTAACTCAACGTCGAGAGTCCCTACAGGATGTTATTGACAGGTGAGGTGGTTTCACTGCCCTGAGAGTCCTCTGTGCCTCCCAGTCGTCCCTCCTCCCTGCCCTCCCCCAGCAATACCTGAGCTCGTACCGTCTCCATGGTTCTGCCGTTCCCAGAATGTCCAATGGTTGGAATCACACAGCATGTAGTCCTGTTACATTGGCTTCTTCCACTCGTTGATGAGCATTGAAGGTCCCTCCACGTCTGTTCTTGGCCTGACCACTCACTTTTTGTTGGCTGAACAGTGCTCCCTTGTCTGGATGGACCACAGCTTCTTCACCCATCACCTGCTCAGGGACATCTTGGTTGTTTCCAAGTTTTGGCAACTGTGTACCGAGCTGCCGTAAACATCTGTGGAGGTGTTTGTGTGGGCATAAGTTTTCAGCTCTTTTGGGTAAATAATCAAGGAGCATGATTGCTGGATGGTGTGGTAAGGATGTGTTTAGTTTTATAAGAAACAAACGCTCCCTAAATGGCAGTACTACCTGCGTTCCCATCAGCGGTGAGCGAGGTTCCTGCTGCACATCCTCCCAGCACGTGCTGGTGTCCGTGTGCTGGGATGTGGAACATCTCCACCTCTTGACGGTGTCCTTTGCAGAACAGAAGTTTTAGTTTTAATGAAGTTCAGCTTATCGATCCTTTCTTTCATGGATCATGTCTTTGGTGTTATATCTGAAAAGTCATCACCAAACCCAGGGTCATCTAGGTTTTCTTACATTGTAGGAGTTTTATCATTATGCCGTTTACATGTAGACCAGGGATCCCCTTGAGTTAGTGTCTGTGAGGTGTGAGGCCTGTGTCTGGACCGCTTTCTGCAGGTGGTGTCCATCTCTAGTGCCGTTGACAGACTCTGGGGTGCAGCTGCCTTTGCACCTCTGTCCCAGATCAGCTCACCGATGAGGCAGCCTTGTTTCTGAGCCTTGTCTCGTCTTTCATCAGCAGTACTGCGTTGGTCACTGTGACTTCATAGTCCGTCTCTGAGTCATGTGGTGCCGGTCCTCAGACTCTTCTTCTCCATGTGTGGCTGTTCTGTGCCTTTTCCTCCATGAAAACTTTAGAATTAGCTTGTCAATATCCACAAAATGACTTTTTGGGACTTGGACTGAGATCATGCTGAGTCTATCTATCGGTTGGGAAGAACTGCACCTGACAATATTGAGTCTGTCTATCCATAAACATGGGTTATCTCCGTTTATTTAGTTCTTTGATTTCATTTGTCAGTGTTTTGGTGATGGTTGGCTTTTGTTTGCTGCACTTGGTAGCGAGTCACGGAAACCCAACCTGAGCTGACTGCCAACGCAAGGGCTTTCTGGCGCACGTGGCATCCGGAGGCGGGGAGGTGGATATCAGATGAAACGTAATGCAGGCCCTTCTCCCACTTGCCTCCTTCCTGTTGACACGGTGGCTGCAGCAGCTCTAGGTTCACACTCTCCCCCAGACCGACGAGGAGACAGCACCCAGGAGACAGAGCACTCATGTCCCAAAACTCCCAGCACACTTGCCCTTCACAGGGAATAGCCGTGAACATTCGTGCTTGGGGTTGGGAGTACCCTGCACTGGTGTTTCTCCCTGGGTGGCCTTCATTGGCCAGGACTGTTGGGACCCTCCTGTGGTGGCTGCGACAGAGTGTGGGCCAGCAGGCTTGTCACCATGGTGACTGACTGTCAGCGGTACTGCCTGGTGGAGATGCTGAAGTGCCTTGTGTGACAACTATGCCTTTCTGTTTCTCAGGGTGGTGTGTGTGATCCCGCCGGTGGTGGCCACACCCCCATCCTTGTGGGTGTCTCGGCCACCCTCACCCTACAGCCACAGGATGAGGGTCTTCAGGCACCGCCTGCAGGAGCACACTGCGCCCTATGCCCAGCAGCTGCAGCGGGTGACAGCCCTGCGCTCCCTGCGGTTCCCTGAGCTGAGGCTGGTCCAGTTTGACTCAGGTATGAGAGGGGGCCCCTCCGCACGTTCACATGCCACACCCACTGCTCTGGGTTGTGAGACAGTGTTGCTCCTCCGTAGGGAAGCTGGAAGCTTTAGCGATCTTGCTGCAGAAGCTGAAATCAGAAGGACGTCGAGTGCTGATTCTGTCCCAGATGGTGCTCATGTTAGACATTTTGGAAATGTTCTTGAACTTCCATTATCTCACCTACATACGAATTGATGAAAACGCCAACAGTGAACAGCGGCAGGTAAGGAAGACATTTGCTTCACTCATGTGAGTCTAGCCTGGCTCTCATTGCTGTGAATCCAGTGCTGTCACAACCCTGCTAACAAAGGGAAGAACAGAAGATTCTGTGTCTCAGAACGGGAGTGAGCCTTTTTAGCTCCACCTTTCGATTTCTTTTTCTTTTTTTTTTTTAATCCTCACCCGAGGATATTTTTCCATTTTTTGTACAGATAGAGTGGGAGGGAGAGAGAGGAAGGGAGAGAGAGAGAGAAACATCGACGTGAAGGGACACATCGAGTGGCTGCCACCCGCACGACCAACCAGGGCCGGGGACAAACTGCAACCGAAGTACGTGCTTTTAGCAGGAACCGAACCCAGGTCTTTCCGGACCGCAGGCCGACGCTTTAACCGCTGAGCCAAACTGGCCAGGGCTCGATTTCTTTTTCATAAGTCATTTCAATTCAGGAAATGCAGTCAACCCAACTCGGCAGAACCAAGTTTGGTGACGTGCACTCACTGCAGGACAGGTGTCCTTCAGGAGGCACCACAGGTGAAGACATTCGACTGCTTCACAATTAAAGCCACGTGCCCATTTCCGCGTGTCAGGTCAGCCTAGGGTATTAGGCCTCTCACGTGCTGCTGCTAGGCGTGCGCCAGCGCAGTTTCCTAGGAGGGAGTTGCGTGCGAGGGAGCCTCAGAAATGGATGCGCTCCCTTCAAGCACCACCAGCCCTCCTAAAGGTTTTGGTGTGCACCGTTTCCTGCAGAAGTGTTAAAGCCCCAGTTGGCTGGGCGTGTCCTGAGCAGTCAGCACCTGGGAGCAGGGCTAGCAGCATGGCAGGTGTTCCCAGGAGCAGAGGGCAAGCTGCAGGCCTTCGCCTTGTGTTCTACGGCACCCCACATGCACACACACCAGGCAGGCCTGGTGGGCGGTCAGCACTGCTCAAGGGCACGTCTCCTTGGTGGAGCAGCACATTGTGTGTAGTTTCTTGGAGGAGGAGGCTGTTCGCCTGTTAGGTCTGTTCTGGTGCTGAAGGCACTGCAGAAGAGCCGTGTCCAGTGAGGCTGTTCCAGTTCTGGCCTTGGTGGGTGGAGGATCCTCTTTCGGTTTGTTTTTCTGCTCCCTCAGCCTTACTCCAGGGGCTTTTGCTGTAAAGTGCCCTGGCATTGCCTGGGGGTACATGAAAAAGCACAGATCCCTCCCCAGGAAGACCCTGTTTTCTTGTGGGGCCTACGAACTGAGCTGACAGCACTCGTCACCTGGAATCTGACTCTCTCTTGTGATGACTTGGCATTTAAACAGCGCGTGGAGACCTGAGCAAGGATGCAAGGGCATGGAAGAGCCAGGACCAAACACTAAAAACCTGTGTGGTTTGACGCGGGAACATGACCCGAACAGTCTTGTTGTGGAATGCCTTCTAACGAGTAAACATCAGAGGCATCAGAGGTTTTCCCACATTTACTGGAGTCCTGATGGAAGGTCTTATTTCATCGTAGGAACTGATGAGGAGCTTCAACAGAGACCGGCGGATATTTTGTGCCATCCTCTCCACGCGCAGCCGCTCAACGGGCGTAAGCCTAGTGGAGGCCGATGCGGTGGTGTTCTATGACCACGACCTGAACCCTGTGCTGGACGCCCAGGCCCAGCAGTGGTGCGACAGGATCGGGAGGCGCAGGGACGTGCACGTGTACAGGTGAGGCCCGCGTGTGGCGCAGGGCTGCAGTGACGCCCTGCAGTTCGCCGAGAAGCTCCTGCCGAGGCTTATCTTCCCTTTAGGCAGCCACGTGCTCCCGCTGTTTCACCTTCTTTCTTCATGGTCACATTGGGTTGGAATGGACCTGAGTGTGCTTGGAGTTGGAATTATGATGTTGCTGATTTTTTTTATTTTATAATATGTTTTTATTGATTTTTTTTTAGAGAGAGAGGAAGGGAGGGAGAGAAATATCAATTGGCTGCCTCCTTCACGCCCCTCACTGGAGATCGAGCCTGCAACCTGGGCCTGTGCCTTGACCAGGAATTGAACCGGGACCTCTCAGTCCATGGGATGACGCTCAGTCCACTGAGCCGCACCGGCCGGGCTGGCCTTGCTGACCTTCAGCATGGCGGTTGCACCTCTCCTGGCACACCTGCCCCGGCGGAGGAGGGTGTTGTTCCAGGTTCTTCCCACTAATATCAAACATACCTTGTTTGTAGGCAAATCAGATATTGAAAGAACTTAAGTCTTCTAACTGGCCACAGATATGCAATTGAGGAAATGGAGAAGGCTTTACTTGGTCTGCATTTCGTTGCTTGTTACTTTGTGCCCGTGTGTGCTCAGCACTTGCTCTGCCCTTATCGCAGAACCCTGCCACTTCTCGGACAGCACTGGTCCCTGGCAGGACCTCTCAGGTAGGGTTGGCCCCGGACAGAAAGAAATCTCAGGCTGTGAGCGTAGCCACTTTTTTTTCTAATCGACCTAGTCACCCAAGTGCTGTATTTAAATAGCTTTATTATTATTTTTCCGATTATTATCACATTATTTATTCATTTAAAAAAACAAGAAAAGCATGTAGAGGAAACTCTCCTAGAGATAGCTTGAGTGGTGTTTGGGTGCGTGTCTTTTCAGACGTTTTCTAGTTAGGTAGCTCCTGCCATCCGTCTTATTTTGTAACCCTTTTTTAAAAAGTGTATTTCCATGCTAGTGAATGTAATTTTGGTCCATTGTTTGTATTGAATGAATAGGGTTGCATGGTGTAACCTTATCCTTGGTCCTTAAGCTGTTAGTAGGTAGAAATGAGAAGTATTTGCTTCTCGGCAGCTGGTCTGTCAACACTGGGGAGTGATCTTAGGGATACAGGTGCAGGGCGTGTGAGTGTCCCATCATGTGAAAGAGTGCAGACGCGATGTCGTGAGGGGATGGGATGTCCTGGTTCATAAACATGAAATTTCTACCAAGTAGTATTAAAACTTAGCATAACTTTAATGAAAGCCCTAATTAAGGGTGTTAGTGTATGTGTGTGTCTGCACCTGTGCACAGTTGGATAAAATGGTTTTTAAAGTGCAGTTGCAGTGGAAGGTATGTGATGTGGCAGAGATGAGGGGAGGGTGGTGCTGGGTGTGCCCTCAGGCCGTGCACAGAGCTCCTGTGGGGCTTCCTCCCAGCCCCTGGGACCTCGCCACCGTGCTGCTGGGGTGGGGATAGATGAGCACGCAGAGGCCGGGAGCCAGCCTGGAGGGAATGCAGCCAAGGGGAAGGAGTATCGTTGACTCGGTAAGTGTCGCTGAGACCCTGTGCCGTCTGAGGAAGAGAATGAGGCTGGAACACCGTTTCCCATGTCAGGACCAGAATCCTGTCCCCGTGGACTAAGACGCAAGTGTGACAGCAAAGCAACAGTCTCGGAGTGGCAGTGAGGAGACAGAACACGCACAGGCAGCTACAGGTGGCCAGAAACATGATAAGTGTGATGAGACTCCCAAGCTCCCTGGCAGGTGGGAAGAAGTACAAGTTGAATGTGCATTGACCTTTCTCCTCACATGCCCCGGACAGATGAGACACCTCGGACAGGTGAGGTAGATACCTAGACAAGTGAGACAGGAAAGGGCATGTCTGCTGGTGGAGAGAACTTACGGGGGACGTGAGGTGGTTTCAGTTCTGAAAGCAGTTTAGGGAAGATCTGTTACTTGTAGATCACACGTGTCCTTGGCCCCGGCATTACCCTCCTGGGAGTCTGCCCGTGTGTAGGTGTAGTGACTGCAGACGTTCACGGAGCACGAAGTAGGACCTTGGACGCCTGTCGTGGGGGCACCCCATGCCCAGTATCAGGCAGCCACTAGAAACACGAGTTCAGTAGGGGTTTCTGTGCTTCCTGCTCAGTGGGAAGGTAGTGTGCGTGCATTCGGTGAAGAGAGCATGAGTGTGCACAGGGACACGCAGAGGTTTGCTGCCAGGTTGTCGCCATGGAAGACAGGTGCTCAGGACAAGTCTGGGAATAGGGTGGTGCCGGGGGAGGCCAGCGGAGGAGGGTGGGACCTGCCGTGTACTTGGTTGGCCGGGGGACCGAGAAGGTGGGCACAGTGGAGCAGAGGCCTTTGGCAGCCGGGGGAGGAAGGGTCACACAGAGCACGTGGAGAGCGTTGGTTACATGCACGTGCTTCAGAGCTCGCAGCGCTGCGAGGGTGTGTGCTGCAGGCGGTCTCTGCGCCATCCGCTCATGGAGCCCTGTGCTCATGGAGCCCTGTGCTGTCCTGTGACCTAGCTCTCTGTGTGCATCTCATTGTATCTGTAGGCTTGTGAGTGGCAATTCCATCGAAGAGAAACTTCTGAAGAATGGAACCAAAGACCTGATCCGAGAAGTGGCTGCTCAGGGAAATGACTACTCCATGGCGTTCCTGACACAGGTGCCCTCATTCACTGGGTCCTCAGGGTTTCCACGTGGTGATGGTAGTGTGTAGCTTCTGTGGATTTCAGTGTAGAGTCGTTTGACGGTGCCCCTGGCACCAAGCTTTCGCACTCAGGTCAGGCACGAAACTATATCCTGTGCCGGGGGAGTAACGTGCGTTTCTGTGTTCAGCGGACCATCCAGGAGCTGTTTGAGGTCTATTCTCCCATGGATGATGCTGGCTTCCCAGTGAAAGCCGAGGAGTTTGTTGTCCTTTCTCAGGAACCTTCTGTCACAGAAACCATTGCACCCAAAATTGCACGACCTTTTATAGAGGTAAGGACAGCAGAGCCTGCCCTGCAGTCCCGGGTAAGGAGCTGCCTGCTTTGGGCCTTGACCTCCTGGCTCTCACAGACCCCTCAGGCTCCTCCTGGTTCTTTTCCATGGTCCTAGCTGTGCTGCGGCCTCTGCTGGGAAGCTCATTGGGCAGGGCCACATGCCCTCCCCGCTGTGTGTGGTGAGATCTTCAAGGGTTTACAGTGAAAACAAGTCTGCACAGACCCTCAGGACACGGTCTGGGTGTCTCCTGTCTCTGGGGGTGTTCTATGGGTCACGCCCCTCGCACAGAAGCATCTCTCAGCTCTTTCTGTGTCAGGAGAGACAAGGGTCTACCCCGCCAGGACCTGTGGGTGGTGATGGGCATGGCTGTGAGATGAGGTGCTCGTCTAGCTCTGGGGGGTCAGAGCTGTGTTGTGCAGGCCCACGTGCGGCCTGCGGCTCTTCCCTGTCGTCCCTTTGCTGTCCTTGCACTGCCTCAGGTGGCAGTATGAGGGGCTCGGGGTGCAGTGTGGGCGTCCAGCTCTGCGGAGTGTGGCTCTGTGAAACCCTTAATTTAAAACTTAGAAATCTGCCAGAGCAGTCTGATCCACGGTCAGAGCAGTCTGATCCACGGTCAGAGCAGTCCAATCAAGCCTGCAATTCCTCAGGCCCTGAAGAGCATCGAGGATCTGGAGGGAGACTCGCAGGAGCCTGAGGGGGAGGCCGTGCACGGGACAGCGGACCACAGCGGTGCACAGGAGCAGGAGCCCTCACAGCTGGAGGAGTTGGCCGACTTCATGGAGCAGGTGTGGGCGTTTTCTCCTTTCTGCTTCCACTTGATTTTTTTTCTTTTTAACAAGTCATTGTCTTAAAAATTTGTTCCTTTCATGAAATATTTCTTGTTCACTTTGGCCGAGAAGAATCATCTTTTTGATTCAGGTGTTAGTGGGGGTTGTAAGGATCTTAGCTCATATTAATCTGCAGTTAACTGTATCCAAAAAATATATTTTGAAACAGCTTACCCCAATTGAGAGATATGCTTTGAACTACCTGGAATTGTTTCATGCGTCCACCGATCATGAGAAAGAGAGGAATGGTGAGGTGAGAATCTCAGCTTCTTTGGTGTTAAATTTCGTTTTGAGGAAATGTGACTCACCTGGAATCAAAGGTAACAACCAAGCCCACCCATGTAAAGGCTGCCTGACAGTGAGCAGTCTCGAGAGACCTTTGGGCGGCTCAGAGGGTTTGGGGCACTGGGTGCTCGATAGAGGCTCCATGCTGGGTACACAGAAGTGCTGGGAAATGAATAACCACAGCATGGAGGGGACCCGTGGCAGAGGGAAGAGTGTGAGGTGGGGCCGGGGGCAGACGTGTTCCCGGGTGGGCATGGTGCTGGAAGCCTGTGGTCCTGGTCTCCCAGCAGGACACTGTGCTGACTGCAGTGAGCGCCTGGGAGGCCCAGAACCTGCGGGCGCTGCGGGAGCAGGAGGCCAGGGCGCTGCGGGAGCAGGAGCAGGACCAGCTGCTTACCTACACCAGGGAGGACGCCTACAGCACGGTACGCGTCCCACGCGTCATGCACCACAGCACGACTCGTGCTCTCCAAGACCATGGCGCGGTTTCTTCCCGGTGGTGCAGTGGAGTCCCTGCACTTACCTGAAGAGTTCCTCATGTGGCTGACATATGAAACAGACTGTCCAACTGACAGCTCTCCTGTCTCCCACAGGAGTACATCTGTGAAGGTGCAGACGGGCAGACAGAGGTCATGCCGGTGAGTGCCTTGTCCACTGTGTGTCCTCGTCCTTGTGGGCTGGCTGCCTCTGGGGAGGTGCACAGCTCACACCTCTCCCTTCTCCATGAAGCTCTGGACCCCGCCCACGCCGCCCCAGGATGACAATGACATCTACATCGACTCGGTCATGTGTCTTATGTACGAGACAACGCCCATCCCCGAGTCTAAGCTGCCCCCCGTGTACGTGAGAAAGGAGCGCCGGCGGCACAGAACGGACCCCTCAGGTGTGCACCGTTGGCCCCACTCGTGTCATGTCGCTTTGTGTTCCCGAGCAGGGAGGAGCCTCAGTGTGCGCAGCCCCAGTCAGCAGTGAAAGCGGGAGTGGGTTTGTCTTTGCCAAGGGCTCCTAGGTGACGGGCTCCTGGTCGGCCCCTTGAACCTTTCCTTGGCTTGTTGAGGTGGGAGGGGTGGTCTGGTGACCGCTGTGCTGAGCCTGCCTCTCCATCCAGCCGTAGGCAGGAAGAAGAAGCAGCGGCATGGGGAGGCAGTTGTGCCCCCACGGTCGCTGTTTGACCGTGCAACCCCGGGCCTGCTGAAGATGCGGCGGGAGGGGAAGGAGCAGAAGAAGAACCTCCTGCTGAAGCAGCAGGCACAGTTTGCCAAGCCTCTGCCAGCTTTTGCCAAGCCTGCTGCCGAGTCGGGTCCTGACAACCCGGAGTGGCTCATCAGTGAGGACTGGGCCCTGCTGCAGGTGAGCCTCGCGCCCTGGTTCCCCTTCCCCACGTGTTCCTCCATCCTCCTGGACAGCGGGAAGACTTGATGCTCAGTGTGGTGACCGCTTGTGACTGACCTTGGTCCTCTAGGCCGTGAAGCAGCTGCTAGAGCTGCCTCTGAACCTCACCATTGTGTCCCCGGCCCACACACCCAACTGGGACCTCGTCAGCGACGTCGTCAATTCCTGCAGCCGCATCTACCGCTCTTCCAAGCAGTGCCGCAGCCGCTACGAGAGTGTGCTGATTCCAAGAGAGGAGGGGAAGGTGAGCACCTAAGCAACCATTGGCTCACAGGGTCGCTGGAGGCTCCACAGGGTGAAGGCTTGGCTGTCCTGGCCAGGACTTAGGTGCAGCTGTCATGGTTATGTTTGGTGCACGGTGGAGTCCTGGTGCCTGAGGAAATGCTGTGTGCCTCTGTGGCTCCCAGCACCAGCGAACATGGCCCTGCCTCCCTCTGAAGAGACAGGGAGCGCATTGCTCTGCGCTGTTAGCTCACGTGAGGGAAAGTCTGTCTGCTTTCCCTGGCCCCTTGGCCACTGCACTGGTTTGATGCTCTTTAGACACTCTGGTCCTGACTGACTGGGAGCATCGTGGATGCTACAGATCACAGGGCAGCTGGGTCCTTGGTGTCTGTCAGCAGAAGCCCAGAGAGTCAGCTCTGTGGATGAGAGCAGGTCTCTACTCAGGTGCCTTTCTCGTCCCTCGGGAGCCGAATCGGTCTCCTCACACTTTGCATCTCCCGTCTCCTGGGACAGGGTCACAGCTGTGCCAGCGTCTCTGTGCTCATGTCCTCACTTCCAGTAGCAGAGTTCTCGTCCGAAGTGCAGTGACGGTGTCCTGCTGCGGTGCCACTGCTGTGGTGTGCTCGGTCTGGAAGAGAGGGTTTAATCCCAGGGCCTTGTGTGAGGCCTCCAGGTCAGTGGGCCCATCCCAGGGTCACTGTCTGACCCTTTTGTTGCAGAGTAAGAACAACCGTCCTCTGCGCACGGGCCAGATTTACGCCCAGGATGAGAATGCCACCCACACCCAGCTGTACACGAGCCACTTCGACCTGATGAAGATGACTGCCGGGAAGAGGAGCCCCCCCATCAAGCCTCTGTAGGCCCCACGTTCTCCCTGCACCTTAGCCAAGCCTGGGCCCTAGCAGGAGGCTTTTTGCATCATTTGTTCGTGTCTCCTTTCTTCTTCACGCAGTAACTTCTGTCTCCATTCTGTGTTGTAGGCTTGGCATGAACCCTTTCCAGAAAAACCCCAAGCATGCGTCCGTGTTGGCAGAAAGGTATTCTGTGTTTGTGACATGCTTCTGTGCTTGAAGGGTTATATTTCAGAGTTCTCTCGACACAATGAGCTCGTGCACTGTTGTACCAGATGGGTGTCTGCATCAGCTGGCTGATCCGGTGCAGTGGGGGCTCTCATCCAGGGAGCGTTTTTGTTCACGTGGGGAGGGCATAGAAGTGTGGAAGGTGCCGTCCCTGCCTGCCACCTGTGGAGAGTGCCCCGACGGGGCAGGAGGGCCCTTCTCTCCCTCACGCCTCTGCACTGGCAAACATCTTGTTGGCTCTTCTTTACAAACACACCCAGTTTGGGTGGTGTACTTGCTTTGAATCAAGGAGGTCCGTAGGTGACAAGTGTGGGGGAGGATGTGGGAGTCCTGGGGGCGGGGGTTCCATGAGAGGGTTGGGGAGACCTGTGGGGACCCTCAGCCCTGAGGCTTGCTGCTCCTGCTCTGTGCCCGGGGGGATGGGGGGAGCAGTGTTCATGCATCCAGGTGCCTGGAGTGGTTACTCGGGCAGCCTGGAAGGGAGTGGAGCCGTGGGCTGTGACGACCAAGGCGGCCTTTCTCCTTCCAGGCTGAGCGCCCAGCACCCACCTTTGGGCTGAATGAGAGCTGCCTCCAGCACCTGGCAGCTTTGCAACGAAGGCTGTGGGTCTGGGAATACATGTCTCCTTCAGAACTTGCTGGTTTGTTTTTAACTTCTTCCTCTGTCTTTAGTGGAATCAACTACGACAAGCCCCTGCCTCCTATCCAGGTTGCATCTCTCCGTGCAGAGCGAATCGCCAAAGAGAAGAAGGTGTGGGGTCTGGGCAGGCTGGGCTAGCGGGGCAGCTACCACCAGGCGGCTGTGGCCCTGGCTGCTCCACGCTCCTTTCCTTCCTGCCTGCAGGCTCTGGCTGATCAGCAGAAGGCGCAGCAGCCACCTGTGGCGCAGCCCCCACCACCCCCACCGCAGCCACAGCCTCCACCACCCCAGCAGCCACCACCACCTCTGCCCCAGCCCCCAGCAGCAAGCAACCAGCAGCCCTCCGGGCCACCCACTGTGCAGCCCGCAGCTCAGGCACAGCCTCCAGCACAGCCTGTGCAGCCCCCACCAAAGGTGCCGCCCGCCATCACAACAGTGGGCAGTGCCGCTGTGCTGGTGAGCAGGCCCTCCCCACCCTCCAGCCCCGTGTCGGTTCCTGCAGCATCCGGAGCATCAGATCTGTCAGGGGAGGCGGGAGGCCCAGCCTTCTGGGGGTGTCTTCCACACACTGCGAGGTGTGTTCTCCAAGGCAGCAGGGTGGGAGTTAAGCAGTGATGGGGGCAGAGGCAACTCTCGGTGCAGGTGCCTGGGAAGTTTGGAATTAGACATGACGTGTGAGCCGTAACTGAAGAAGTCGCCCCCTTTCTTCAGCAAACTTGCAGAGTAGATACTGTTTGCCAGTTTACACTTTTCCCTTCTCCCAACCCTGTGGTTTTTCTCAAAGCATGTGCACATGTGCTCATGCACACGCATGAATCTTCTGTAAGAAAAAAGTGGTAAAACGTACAAGAAAGGGGAAGAAAGGCAGGCTTGTGGTCTCATATGCCCAGCTCTGTCACTGTCACACCCCGGTGTGTGCCTGCGCTGTGTGTGCCCACGTGGCCCCCGCTGAGATTACAAGGAAGTGCTCCCGGCACTGGATGGGGAGGCTCTGCTGCTTGGCACTGTCAGCCAGGCGTGGGGGTGGTTATGTCCTGTAGAGCCAACCCTTTCGTTTCACTAGCCTTTGCTGTAGTGGAATTTCCTTACGCGCTTGGGCAGCTTTATTCCTCATTCATTCAGAAAATGCGTTCACTGAGCACCTGCTCTTGGGGAGTCCATCCTGTGGGCAGGCAACCCAATCAGGCAGGACCCCGGGGAGAACAATGTTCAGGAAGCGACTTTGTGCAGAGCCAGCCCCTGGGCGGGGCCTGAGTGACGGGAGTCAGAAAGGGATAGAAACCAGCAAGCTCAGAGGCCCTGAGCTTGGCAGCTATGGGGTCAGAAGGGTCAGTGTGGCTAGAGCACCACTCACTGAGGGATGGACACTGCATTGTGGGGGGAGTGGGGGACAGAGGGGCTGCCCAGGTTGGACCCCTACCTGCTATTGCGCCTGGGTCTAGCTATCCCGTGTGACCACCACCCACAGTCAGGAGTTTGGATTTGATGTTGATGAACGGAATATTTTGTAGGGTTTATAGTGTACGTGTGCGAGTTTGACCTGATATTCAAATAATTTTTCTTCAGCAGGCAGGAGCCATCAAAACGCCCGTTACAGGGACAAGCATGCCAGCAGGTGAGGGGGCAGGCGTGCAGCACGGGCTCACTTCTCCTGTGTGCTTCTGCCTCACAGGCCTTCTCCCCGCAGGCACAGTGAGCGGAAACGTGATAGTGAACACCATCGCGGGTGTCCCTGCCGCCACCTTCCAGTCGATTAACAAGCGCCTTGCTTCGCCCGTGGCGCCTGGAGCCTTGACGGTGAGTTGTCCCCGCTCCTGTTTGTTCAGGAGCATGCCCAGCCTAGGACTCCGTGGAAGTGGGTACAGAAGGTGCTGAGCCAGCTGAGTTCCGTGAGATAACACGGACATTCGGGAAGGTTTCTGTGTTATGCTTTCTGAGGACACATGGAAATCTCTACACCATCATCCCTGGGCCGGGGGGGGGGGGGATGAGGGTGCATCACAGGTGCCGCTGGTGGTGCCCCTTGTGCCTTGAGGGTTGTGGGGATGCAGAGATGGCCACTCGGGGATCACACCATGGGAGGGGGCATGTGTCACGTGATATTGAGACACACTCTTACATTCATTACTGGTGTGCGGGGTGCAGGCCAGGCACAGGAGGGGTGCTCAGTTTATGGGCTATCTAGACACAGGCCAAACTGTGGTAGCAGGTAAGGACCAAACCTGGGCAAAGAGGTAGACGCGGAGCCACAAGACCACCTGCACAGAGCCAGAGGAGCTGGGAGACAGCCACAGGAGAGCCACACTCAGCAAGGGAACACCTCATGTTTCACCATGAACACACAGACGGACAGCTGAGGTTTAGGGGTTTAGATTTATATCCCAGTTTCCAGTTTAGTCACAGATCCCAGGCAGCACGAGCCCTGAACGACAAGCTGCTCAGAGTCAGCTGTGCTTTGCAGGGAGGGTAGTGATGTCCCTCCGCAGCTTTGGGAAGTGTTCTTCCACGGAGATGTGGCTGTAGTGATCCAGACAGCGTGGTGCTGGCTGCAGGGTGGACACACGTCCCAGGGGAGGGGGGAGGGTTGTGAACAGACCCTTACGCACAGTAGATTTTCACTGAGGGTGCCAAGAGGACTCAGGAAGGACAACAGGCTGATCGGGAACTGTGTCCTTAACTCACACTGGTCATAGACCAAAATGTGAAACCCCAGCCTAGTACTGGGGGAAGACACTGGAATCATCTTTGCTGCCGTGGCTCAGGCATACGTTTCTCAGGACACCAAAGCTTGTCAATTATTAAAGAAAATTTAACTAGACAGCATCAAAAATCACAAACCTCTGATGTTTGAAAAGTATTATGAAGAAAATGAGAAGTATGTGCAGAACATATCAGGTAAAGGACTGGTATTTAGGTGGTATCAAGATTTTTCAGTCAATAAGAAAACTTTTAGAAAGACACAAGAGATTTGAGCAGTTATTCATCAAAGAAGATACGTATATATACACACAGATAGCAAGTGAGAGTGAAAAATGCTCAACATGAGTAGTTGGTCGGGAAATGCAAATTAAAGCCACGATGATACACTAACACACACCCTTGGGAACGGCTTCCAGACCAGAAGCAGGGCCTGGCGGAGCCCAGTGCTGGGGAGCAGCAAGGTCCCCCTGATGACGGGAGTGCAGGCTCTTCCAGTGAATGGAGAGCTGTCAGGTTCCTTCTCTTTGTTCCATCCTCACCAAGGACATTTCCCATTGTTTGTTCAGATAGAATGTGAGGGAGAGAGAGGAAGAGAGAAACATTGACGTGAAAGGGACACATCGAGTGGCTACCACCCACACGACCGACCAGGGCCGGGGACAAACTGCAACCGAGGCACACGCCCTTAGCGGGAACCGAACCCAGGTCTCTCTGGACCGCAGGCCCACGCTCTAACCACTGAGCAACCGGCCAGGGCAGGTTCTTTCTTATCCAAGTAAACATGCAGTTATACAGCCCATCCATTCCACTCCTTGGTTTCCCCAGCAGATGTGTATACACACAAAATCTGACCATGAATGTGGATAGTGGCCTCATCCATAATTAGTTTTAAAAAAAAAGGTACAACCTAACTATGCTTCAACTGGCCTATTGAAAAAGAACTATTTCTGTGTGCAATATTTTAAAAGGTAAAGTGATTCAGCCATGATGTATTTTTTGAGCACCTCTCCCAGACAGGATACTCCTCCTGGTGCTGTGGGGACGGGAACATGACTGAAACCCGCAGCACTTTCACGAGGCTTCTGCCAGCGTGGAGCTGGAACGGTGACTGTAGACAGCAGGGAAAGCTTTCTGGAGAGGCAGACAGCAGACAGTGGGCAGACCCTCTAGACTTGAAGTAGAGGTATTACTGGGCATAGATTTTGAAACAACTATACTTCCTGTTTCAAAAAATGGGAAGAAGCTTGAAAATATCTATAAAAGCCAGGAAACTATTTTAAAAGACCATAGAGAAATGAAAAATGGTTAACAGAATTGAAAAAAGAAAACGTGATAATTGGGCTTAATGTCAGTTTACACAGTAGAAGAGAGAATTAGTGAACTAGAAAACAAGTCAGAGGAAGTTACCCGAATGGAGCGTGGGGAGACCACAGGTGGATGGGCAGGGAAAATGTAAAGCTATGGGAGGTTGACTGCGAGGATGGGCAGAGACCGAGAAATGTGTAGCTAGAACTAACCATATGTACAAAACCTCAAGCAGCCCAGACCCACACTGTGCACGCAGTGGCAGGGCAGCAGGCAGCAGGGACCCGGCAGCTTGCTCTCCTTGGGGCAGTGAGGCCAGCAGCCTGTGGGGTGACGTGTTGCTGTAATGAGAGAAAACCGCCGGCCCCAGGACTCTGTTTCCTTTGAAAATATATATATATATTTTTTTTTTTATCCTCACCCGAGGACATTTTTCGATATTTTGTTCAGATAGAGTGGGAGGGAGAGAGAGAGACATCGACGCGAAAGGGACACATCAAGTGGTTGCCACCCACATGACCCAACCAGGGCCGGGGACAAACTGCAACCGAGGTGCATGCCTTTAGCTGGACTCGAACCCGAGTCTCTCCAGACCTCAGGTCAAAGCTCTAAACGCTGAGCCAAACTGGCTAGGGCTCCTTTGAAAATATTTTGAAGAACAGGGTAAAGAAAAACATTCTCTAACAACTGAGAGAATTACTAGTAGATCTTTATTAAATGATGTCCTTTTGGCAGAAGGAGGTGTTGCCAGGTGGAAGGTCTGAGCAATGAGAGAAAAGAACATAGTGTGGGGGTAATTGGGTGAAGGTTGACTTCACACACAGCAGTCTGTGAAGGGGGGTTCACAGGAGTGGAGACAGTACACAAGAAATGGTGATGAGTAAAGTGTGGGAGGGCGAGAGGTGCTGAAATGTTCTAGAATCTCTTTGCTGTTCACAAAAAGTAAGCTACCAATTGGACTTCAGTCAGTGTGCAGGATGCGATTAGTAGATGAGCCACTGAAAGAATGGAAATGGAGTGTAACTTCTAAACTGGGAGGGGAGAAAACGTGAAAGAAGGTAAGAAAGGCGATGGGAAGAAACCTGGACTGACGGGTGGGACAGAAAGCACAGGACGAGGTGCTGGGTTAGGCCCTCGCGCGTGATGGAGCGAGCCGAGCGCAGAAGGACGAGCAGGGACTGCGCACCACAGGCCAGCAGCCCAAGCAGCACGTTGGAGGAACTCGGAAGTAGGAGTGGTGCAGCCTGGGCACCAGCTTGTGGGCGCGGGGCAGCCGGTGTGCGAGGCAGGAGGCCACACGAAGAAGGGTCCACGCTGCAGCCTCCATGCCTGACCATGGGAGCTGCAGTTAGGGCCTCGGACTGCCCGTTTTGGGGACACACTGGTATCCATAGGACGGTCAAGTCTCAGCAGGTCCTCTGGGTGAGGACAGGGACAGTGCAGTATTTCAGAGCGGGGGCTGGGATGCCGTCGTCCGGAACTGCTGCTCCTGCTGTGGTAAGCAGCCTGCACTGTAGCTCCAGGCACGTGCTGTAAGACTCTTCCTCTCAGCACCTCCAGGACGTGCCCACTCCTTTGGGCTAAGAGTCGGGTGCCCTTTCCACCCATATTGCAGTCACCTGATGGGCCCTCATCTTACATTTCCAGACTTCCGGAGGCTCCACACCTGCCCAGGTGGTTCACACCCAGCCTCGAGCAGTTGGCTCCCCAGCCACGTCTGACCTGGTGTCCCTGGCACCGACACAGGGTGTTCGTGCAGTCACCTCCGTGACAGCCTCGGCCGTGGTCACTACCAGCCTGACGGCAGTGCAGACCCCAACCCGGTCTTTGGTGACTCAGGTGTCCCAAGGTAAAGATGGGTTGGTCTCTCGTGGCCTGTCCCGCCCTGGAAGGCAGGACTCAGCTTCTGTTGGTTTTGGGGGAGGGGATCAGTGTCCACTAATGAAGAACTTCTCCAGCCACAGGGGTTCAGCTCCCAGGAAAGACCCTCACGCCCGCCCACTTCCAGCTCCTCCGGCAGCAGCAGCAGCAGCCACCGCCCCCTCCACCGCCCTCCCAGACGCAGGTCCCGCAGCTCCAGGGCCAGGCCCAGTCGCCCGCACAGATCAAAGCTGTGAGCAAGCTGACACCGGTGAGCACCTCCTAGGAACCGTAAGCGCACCGTGGGTGACATTGTGTGGTGCAGTTCCAGGTGCATTGTGCACACGCTGCGTAGTCTGTAGGCAGGAAGTGTTTGCGTTGCCTTTGAGGGCTTTCTGCACAGTACTCCGGAGGCCTCGGACCCCTGCTCCAAATACCTTCCCACCTTCGTGCTACGCTCCATGCCCGGGTCAGGCTCCAGAGAGGGCGGAGCCACTCGGTCCCATTCCCACCCAGACTGCGTGATCCTCAGTCTGGGGGATGGGCAGTGGAGACTTGGTGTACTGGGAGTGGTTCCCGCACCGATTCTCACAGGCAGTCGTTGAGTGTGCTGTGCCTGAGCTCTGCCCGTGTGCACGCCATGCTGACATGTACGTGAGCACACTCCTGCGCGTACAGGCAGCCTGAGCCTGGGCATAGGGAGCGGCCAGGAAAACGTGTAATTAAAATCCCAGCCCACTGTCAGGCCTGCCCAGTAAGTGCCTGGCCCTGGGCCTGTCCGTTCCCAGATCAGAGGGGACACGAAGGCCTGTTGGGGGCTGTGGAGGACACACTGGCGCTGTGTCGAGGCTTTCTCCTCAAGGCACCTGCACGAGTACCCAGGAGACGCAGTGCGATGAAAAAGAACATTTATTCCTGAGTTGCTGCAGCCACATCGCAAGGGCTTAATGGCCACACGTGGTTGTGGCTGCAGCATGGTCAGCTCAGATCTGGGCTGTGTGCGTCACGGCAGGAGGTTGTGCTGCATGGCTCCGAGTTAGTGACTGGGCCCCACAGAGGCAGGTTGTCCAAGTTGGTGTCCCGCCCAGGTCACCTCTCCTCTGGCCTTCCTGCTCGTCCGCTCAGACATCGGCCTCTAGGGCTGTCCTCGCCCAGAGCCCCGCGCCCCACTCCTCCCCCTGTTCTCCCTCCTCACGCCAGGGCAGCTCCAGTGTAGGACGAGGTGAGATCTGATAGTCGTGAGCAGCTCACTGTGAGTTTCCTTAGAAAACAAAGCCACTTATTTCTTTAAAATATTTTTGAACTATCTTGACATTTTGATTTTTTTATTTAAAGACATGAAGTTGGTTAATGAAACTTATTTTTAGACAGTTGGAATAAGTAAGTGAGAGCTGGTGCACATCTTATCATTTTAAAATTTCAAGAGGGACCATGACTTGAAGATCTTTAAAATGTTTGGCGTGCTGCAGATATGAGTCGGCTTGTCTGTAAGAGCGACCTGGAGCTTTGCTGTAGCTACCAGTACATCAGCGTCGCTGTTTCTAGTTTTTGTCCACAATATGCTAATTTTTTAAAAGTAACATTTAAAACACCAGTGGAGAGGCTGTGGAGGAGGGTTGCCCCTGCGTGTCAGCAGCTGGTCGCTCTGGTGCTCATGCGTCGTAGAACAGTCACTGAGAGCCAAGCTGTGCAGCGTGGGTGCAGCCAGTACTGATGAAAAGCTACTCTGGGTTTCAGGAGCACCTCATCAAAATGCAGAAGCAGAAACTGCAGCTGCCCCAGCAGGCCCCACCGCCGCAGGCCCCGCCAGGGCCCCCGCCGCCCACCGCGCAGGTGCAGGTGCAGCCCCCACCGCCCGCACAGCAGCAGAGCCCCCAGCTCACCACCGTCACGGCCTCCAGGCCTGGAGCCCTGCTCACGGGCACCGCCGTGGCCAACCTCCAGGTGGCCCGGCTCGTAAGTTCCCCTCGATACTCTTGTTTTCCTGACGCGCTGTCTCTTTACATTTTAACTGAACTCACAGCTTGCTTGGCCGTGCGGAGTGACGGGGACTCACCCATGAGGTCGAAGGCATGGCCCTTCCCCAAGGGCCTGAGTGCCCATTGGGAAGGGTGAGACAGTCTGTGGGGACATTGAAGTGATTGTGCTTCCCCGAGCTGCAGTGTCGCAGAGCTCATGGCTGAGCACTTGAGGGGTGAGGTGCAAGCCAGACCATGGAAGGAGGCAGGGTCTGTGTTGGGGACAGCACATGGGCATGCAGGTGGTGGCACGGTGCCACCGGGTAGAGATGCAGGAGGAGGGAGAAGGAGACTGCAGGATGTTGGGAGGCGGCAAAGCCTGAAAAACCTGACTTAGGTGCCACAGCGCTTCGTGGGTGTGGGGAAGACGGTGGGAGGGAGGAGTGTGCCGTCAGGGTGCAGACGGTGTCGGGGATTAACGTCCAACCAGCGTCGACCCAGACACTCAGGACAGTCCAGGTAGCTCAGCTTGGGAGACCTCACCCTGGCACAGATGACACGGTGCTACATCTACCACCCGAGTGGTGTTCACTGACCGTTGCAGGGTAGGACAGGTGTTCTAATGTTACCCCCTTTGCAGGTGCAGAGCCTGAGGCCAGCAGCTTAGGTCACCTGCCCAAAGCCTAGCGTGTCACCCACAACGCTGGTTCTGCTCTGGGTGTGCCTCCCCCACTTTAAGTCTGCAAGACAGCCTAGAAGGGGATAAAACCTGCAAAAGCACCTTTGGTTTCCCGTGTTCAGGAGAAGCTCCAGCTCAGATGAGAAAGGTGGTGACAGGCACGGGGCCAGGCCAGGCAGCTCCCTCTGGTGGGGTCTAACCGGTCGAGCTCAGGAAAGCGCACACCATTCTACCCAGCAGCCCTGTTCCTGCCACATCCGAAAGAAATCATAGGACCGTGCTGTGCCGGGTGTGCAGCTGGCTCGTTTCAGGGCTGTTAGGAGAAACCAAAGACGTTTGCTGAGTAGTTTGTGCAGCGTCCATGCACGGATCGTAAGCGACTCAGAGGACTGGTTGTCATAAAAGGAAGAGAAGCAGATGACAAGAAACCTGGTTCATCCCACTCCACCTGCTTTCACAGCGGCGTGGACAAGGGCAGGCCGGGCAGGCCGAGTGCGGGTTCACATTCAGGTGCGGGCTGTTGGGGTTATGGGTGATTTTTACTTTACATCTTCTAGGTAGTCCAAGTTGCTCTACATATAAAAATGGACTTATTTCTGTTTTCCTTTTTAAAAATGTAACTTAAGAAAGTGCTCAGATGCAGTGTATACTAAGTTGGTGGACTTCAGGGGAGGTCTTGGGGTGAGCTCCAGCAGTGGGCTGACCTTCAGCAGGACGAGGAAACGAGGTTCTGTGGGGAGCAGGGTGCAGTCGGGCTGCTCTGAGGACAGGAGATGTGAGGGCTGTGTGACCAATGCACTTGTAGGTCTTGCCGAACCCTGTCCTGCGTTTGTTGGTGACGGGTTGACCGCATCGGTCAGTCTCCAGTAAGATGTGGACCTTGGCTGGCTGCCGCTTCCCACCCTTGTGAGCCCTGTCCACGTCTCCCCTTGACCTCTCGTGGGGAGGTCCACTCTTGTGAGCCCTGTCCACGTCTCACCCTTGACCTCTCGTGGGGAGGTCCACATGGATTGCTGAATCTCTGGACTCCCTCTCTCTTTTTAGACACGGGTTCCCACGTCGCAGCTGCAGGCGCCAGGCCAGGTGCAGGCGCAGGCGCCCCCACCGGCTCAGGTGGCCCTGGCGAAGCCTCCAGTGGTGTCTGTGCCCGCAGCTGTGGTCTCCTCACCGGGCGTCACAACCCTGCCCATGAACGTCGCGGGGATCAGCGTGGCCATCGGGCAGCCACAGAAAGCCGCAGGTGCCTGCCCTCGCCCCTGGAGCCTGGAGTGGGGCTGATGAGCCTTTTCTAGTGGAAGCGCCACCAGCCTTGCTGACTCCTTCGTCCGACACCCGTCTTGAGAGCACTGTGGCGTGTTAGAAGTGTCTCAGGCTTCCTGAGTGCAAGCTTGACCCTCAATCTAACCATAATGATTTGAACTTCCCGTTCTTTTATCTCAGCGATTTTTAGCCGGTGTGCCAAAAGAATTTTTAAAACGCAACACCTAACCACTTAATCGGGCACTGATCTCTTTTCCCTTAGCTTGTCAAATAAGATGACAGCAGCCAACACAGTATTAGCCATCTGATGTAAATAAATCAAAATTACACCTGTTTTTTTTTTGTCAGATAGGCAAAAAAGACATTTTTCAGCATGCTGAAGCATGTTAGCAGTTCGTGTGGTCGAGAACTGCTGCGCTGAGGGCCCTGGTGGGCCCAGGGGCATCTCGAGTGGTGGGAGGTGGCTGTTTCGGGGACTGTTCTGTAGAAGTCACGTAGTCCAAACAGCTCAGGGACTCGGGGGTGAAGGGAGCTCGGTGTGAGCCTGATGCAGGGCCTGAGACTTACCCTCCTGACTGATGTTGCAGGACAGACTGTCGTGGCCCAGCCCGTGCACGTGCAGCAGCTGCTGAAGCTCAAGCAGCAGGCCGTGCAGCAACAGAAGGCCATCCAGCCGCAGGCTGCCCAGGGCCCGGCCGCTGTCCCGCAGAAGGTACTGGGCTCCTGCGTGGGGTTGTTGGGTCGCCCTGTCTTCACACTGAATCCGGCCCTACTGCTAGAAAAGAAAACTCCTGAGATGTTGAAACGTGTTCAGTTTGCAGCCATGTCTCTGCAACCCAAGTACAGAGACCACGTGTGCTTGGCCCACCTGCAGAGAAAACGAGCAGTTAGGTTAGGTGGGCAAAGAGTGTGCCCACGGGTTCCTAACTCCTCATGCCAGCCTTCCAGGGTACGTGCCAAATGCTCAGAGTCAGGTCTGAGAGACTGCCTGTGTATGTTTTCTCCGTTGTGGTCAAGTGCACTCACGTGACGGGCAAACAGCCCAGGTGCTGCAGAGCATGTGAAGGTGACCCCAGCCCCAGGTCAGGGCTTCAGGAGAGGGGACAGTCACGGGGGGGCCGGGTCCCCGCAGCAATGGGGCAGAGGGCAGGCAGTGCAGGGAGCACATGGCAGGCGCACTGCGGGTGTGGGGCAGCGGAGCCCACAGCGCAGGCTGCGGCTCTGAGAGGGGACATGGTCTTGCGGACTCTAACCCTGGATGGCCTCTCTTCCTTCAGATCACTGCACAACAGATTGCTGCTCAGGGTCAACCCCAGAAGGTCACCTATGCTGCCCAGCCAGCCCTTAAAACCCAGTTTCTTACCACACCCATCTCCCAGGCTCAGAAACTGGCCGGGACTCAGCAGGTGCAGACCCAGATCCAGGTGAGCATGAGCCAGCACAAGGGCTGGATTGCAGACACTGCAGGTGCCCAGCACAGTGAGTGGACAATGTGCAGGATCCAGACAATAAAAATGGCGTCACTGTTAGGAGAGTTGAGAGAGTGGCACAGGTCCGTCACTATTCCTCAGAGCAGCGTGTCCCCTGACGTCCTCTCTGGCTTGGCCATCCGTGAGATCCAGCAGTGGGGCGTGGGCACGCCCAGGCGGTGCTGTGGCGGCATCTTTGATGTGTGGGAGGCTCCTCCGGGAGTTGGTGGTCAGCTCCTGCTTCGGGAGTTGACACTGTGTGTGCCGCATGTTTGCTGGGGGGGCGCGGGCTGTGGGCGGCACATGTCGTTGAGCTTCCACGGAGGCCCCGCAGTGATGCCTTCCCTGCAGCCTCGCCCCTCCGCCCTCTGCAGCCCTCTCCAAACCTGTTGCCAGTAGACGTCCCCTCTGGGGCAGTGCCTGGCTGCATGTTTTCACTCTGGGGGTCAGACTTGGCTCTGTCTTCTCCCAGGACATTGTGGCTGTGTCTGTGGACGAGCACACGGTCCGCATCTTCCTGATCTCACTGCTGAGCAGTGCTTTCTGTGTCTGAGGAAGTCCCCCCCCAAGGTCACGACGTCATGTCTGGTTCTTAGGAAGTTTTCCCCCCGAGGTCGAGACGTCATGTCTGGTTCTTAGGAAGTTTTCCCCCCGAGGTCGAGACGTCATGTCTGGTTCTTAGGAAGTTTCCCCCCGAGGTCGAGACGTCATGTCTGGTTCTGAGGAAGTCCCCCCCGAGGTCACGACGTCATGTCTGGTTCTTAGGAAGTTTCCCCCCGAGGTCGAGACATCATGTCTGGTTCTGAGGAAGTCCCCCCCGAGGTCGCGACGTCATGTCTGGTTCTTAGGAAGTTTCCCCCCTTCCTGGAGTTGTTCTCTCCAGACGATGTGAGAGACGGTTTTCATTTTACTTTTCCTGTTGGAAACCCGGTTCTCTCAGTGGCACTTACAAAGGACTCCACCCTCTCTGGTCCACTGCGTCTTCAGCATAAATCCCCGTGGCCTCCACAGGCTTGTCTGTAGCGCGTGGTGTCTGCCCTCGCCCTGGGCTGTGGGAGGAGATGGGCGTCTGGAAGGCACACTCCCGCCGCCCGCCCGCTGGCTGCGCCTGCTCTGCACTCCCAGCAGACCCGAGGGACTGAGTTAGCCGCACTGCTGGGTTTACAGAATTGCCAAGACTTACGCGTCAGTTTTGGGGGAAGTTGACATTTTTAGACTGGATTCACATTCACCAACTGATCCATCTTTAGTTGTTCACCTCTTCTTTAATGTCCCTAATTACGATTTCTGACTTTTCCAGAAAAGTCACTTAACACTTGTGTTGGGTTTATCCCTAGGTAATCAGAGACTTTTGTGATGCTTCTGTAAACAGTGTGTTTCTGTGTGTTTGTTTTCTGTCTACTTTGTACATACATGGGACTCTTGAGCTTTGTGTTCAGCAGCCTTGACTCGTTCCTGCTCCGGGGCCAGGTCGCCTGTAGGTTCTTCTGTGTCTGATCAAATCACCTGCGAGTGGCGGCCACACCCTGCTCCCTCCTTCCCTTCTTCTTCCCACATTGTGCTGGCCAAGCCCAGGGTGTGCACACAGAAGCAGTTCAGCCCTGCCCTGGCCGGTTCGGCTCAGTGGTTGAACATCGATCGACCTGTGGACCAGAGTCCCGGGTTCGGTTCCCGCTAGGGGCACGTACCACCAAAAAAAAAAAAAAAAAAAAAAGGCTTTAAAAAAAATTGCACTTTGTTAGAGCAAGAAAATGTTCTCCTTTGTCTAGTTTGCTAGAAGTATTTGTTCCTTTTTGTTTCGGTGATTTGTCTGTTTCACCATCGGTGTGCACCCATCCCCCACCCCCACCCCCGCCCTCTGAGAGCGAGAGTCCTCTTGGTGCAGAGGCTCCAGAGGCTCCAGAGGCAGAGCTGCAGCCAGTCGCTGGCCCCTCCCACACAGCGGGCCGGACTCGGCTCTCCTGACATGCTCAAGTATCTCATTCCATCCCCAGTTTAATTCTCTCCTGTAAGCTTGGGGCCGTTTTTAGTAAAAGAAATATTTGACTATGTGAATTATGAGACCAAAGATAAGTTCCAAATGGCACATGATTGCAGATTAAGAAGCTGGTCAGAGCTGGCATGAAGGTGAGCTCGGCTCTCTCAGTGCCAGGTGAGCACACTTGGAGAAGGGCTCTTTTCTGTCATCTGGCCATTGGTTTATTTTGAATTAGTAACCGAGAAGAAAAGAAAGGGAATCTTTTTGTGCATACGTTCTTTTGAATTCTGCCCTTGGCTTTTTTTGTTTTGTCAAAGGTTGCAAAGCTCCCTCAAGCCGTGCAGCCGCAGACGCCCGTGGCTGGTGTCCCGCAGGTTGGCCCTGCTTCCCAGCAGGTAGGTGTGGGGACAGGCGGCCGTGGGATGTTCTCACGTGGGCTTTTCAGCGACCTTCACGCTCCCCAGATCGAGAGAGTTCTTGGTTTCCTTCTTGAGGAAGTAGGATTTGAGTTAGTAGAGAATCACTTCTGATTTTCATAATACGGAAGGAAAATAAACTCAGCGTCAGATGTACCAGCGGAGCTCATGTCTGGGATCAGTGCTGCAGCCATCACTGTCAGGTGTGTCCTGCAGGCTGGGGCTCCACACCTTCGTGTGGGGAACTGAACATGCAGCAGACAGCACTAGGCCAGCCGTGACCACCCCAAGAGCCTGGTGGGCAAGCTGTCACTGTGCTATTCACAGCCACAAAATGTGGCCACGTGAGAGCAGTGCTTGAAACATTGCTATTCCCAGAATCACACTAGCATGTGGATTTCAAGAAACCAGGTACAGTTGAGCCTTGAACAACATGGGGTTCAGTGGCATGCACCCCCTGAGCACTCAGAAATCTGTGCATACCTGTCTGCCCTCCATGTAACATTCATTCCCAACCCGTGGCTGCTGACCTCTGAACAGCATGGGTTTGACCTTCACCGGCCCACTTACTCACAGACCTACCTGTATGTTCAAACCCGCGTAGTTCAAGCGACAGCGTAGCAGTGTAGGTTGGCCACCACTGGTCCCGGTCCTCTGGCTGTCCAGAGGTATCCAGTTTTAGCCTAAAAGCAATACAGTTCAGTTTTCTACTTGTGTTTGGTTAAAAACCAGAGATCATATTTTAGTATGTCGGGTAGTTTTCACATTTTACAACAGTTCATGCTGACTAAGTTTCTAACCCCCCCCCACACTGATCCCCAAGAGTGTTGAGTTTGCCATGTCACTTGATCTGCATTTTCTAGGTGATGTGTTGTCTTCTCTGTTTCGGCTCAGGCTCCCCCACAGACTGTGACTCTCACCCAGGCGACGGCAGCTGGGCAGCAGGTCCAGGTGATCCCCGCGGTGACCGCAACCGCACAGGTGGTCCAGCAGAAACTCATGCAGCAGCAAGCTGTGACAGCGGCGGCAGCCCAGCTGCAGGCCCCTGGTGTCCCCAACCCCGCACAGGCGCCAGCCAGTGCCGATAGCCCGAACCAGCAGCCCAAGTTACAGATGAGAGTCCCTGCCGTTCGGCTAAAGACACCCACCAAACCTCCGTGCCCCTAGTCAGGGCAGTGGGCAGCCTCGGGGCCCATCCTAGCATCTCACCCTCCAGCCAGCTGTAGACGTTCTCTGTTGTGAAGCCTCGGGAGGGCGCCGTGCGTGTGCTCAGCTGCTGCCGCGGGGGAGTGGGCCAGCCCGCACCTGCTCCAGGGACCACCGCCTCTGCTGTAGACCAGGGCGTGTGGGGGGTGCTCCCAGGTCGCTCCCCCTCTCAGCCTCCTCCAGAGCTGCCGCGCCGGGTCTGAGCCGTGGAGCCCGTCAGTGCCCTCTGCTCATCACGGGGGCTACTGGGAATGTGTGAGTCAGGAAGTGACTTCCTGAAGCCAGAATACGTCTCGGACAGTGTCAGCCTCTACTTGGTTCCCTGCCCACTGAGAGCGCATCGGGCCCTCTGAGGAGAGGGCGTCCGAGTCGGGCCTCCCGGGTTCGAGAGCAGTGCTGTGCTTGCTTCTCTCCTAACATGTGACTTGGAGCTTCTGAAGGACTCTTGGTGCTGATGCCGGTCGCAGCACATCTGTGACGCGTTCCCAGCTTGGGTGGAAGAAGAATGCTGTGATTGAACTTCCATTCCACGTAGGCGGGACCTTCCAGGCTCCCCGTCCCAGCACACCCATGACACTCCCCAGCGTTTGGGTGCAGCTCGCTGTTGGACTCAGCTTGCAGAAGCAGCTCTTTGTGACCACAGGGGCCCAGAGGACCGGGCAGGTGTTACCCTGATTGTGAGTGCACGGCCCGGCCCAGGGAGAGCAGGGCTGCCTGTCGTCACTCCCTCTCGCGCTCGCGCCCAGCCCGGCATCTGCAGAGCTGAGAAACCTGCCCCGGCAGGGTGGCTCACTTGTGGCAGACTCTTTCACATCCATGAGACCTCGGGTTTCTGTGCCAGGGCCTCGTACACCCACTCACACTCTGTTGTGGCTCTGGAAGGGCAAGCTGTCCGCGCTGTTTCAAGGCGGCCCGTGAGTGAGGGGTAGAAAGGAGGCCCTGTGTTTTTATTTTTTCACTATGGCAAGATAGTAGAAGCGATTGCAGTGGACTTAATTGGCTGATGCTGTCCACTCACCTGGAAGTGTTCACTGGGCACATGGTGCACGTCCCCCCAGACCCTTTCTCCTCTGCTCTGTGCCTCTGGCTCCCTGGGCCCACGGGCGCAGTGGGGTCTGTGCGCTGGCACAGAAGTCTGTAAGTTTGTTCTCCTCTGCTCTGCTCCTGTCCCCCCATGTGTCACTTCCAGTGACAGGAAGGAATGTCTTCTGTCCCTGCGTCTGTTTCCCATCAGTTTATGTGGACAGTAGTACGGAGATTCTTAGTGAAGCCAGCGGGGCAGCTCATTTTTGAGTTCTTAGTGAGAAATCTGGAAGAAAGTAAAAAATGAAGTGTTGAAAAAACGCAAGGAATTTAACCTTTTAGTTAATTGAACAGGACTGTTAACCAGCCTGCTGGTTCTGGTTTGGCTCAAGCTCCTTCGCAGGACGTGCTGTGAGCCGCTCCGCCTCTGTTCCCTGTAGACGCCGGGGACGCTGTATCCCCGTGTACAGGGCGGCATGTGGAATCCTGTTTCTCAGCTCACTTCTGTTGTGCGCCCATTTGCGTTCCACTTGTAATTCACAGGGTGTTGCAGTCCCTTTAGGTGGCAGGATGCTGGTGCACTGACGGAGTCGCTGCCTCTGCTCAGCTGCCACGCCGAGGGTTGCCTGTTAGCGCAGGAGCAAGACACCTGTGGAGCTCAGCCTGCTGGCTGCCGAGGGAGGGTGCGCCCCAGAAGGGGTTTTCTAAGCAACTCCCTGATACACAATGTGGAGCAGAAATTCTCTTGTATCGCTTGGTTTAGTGACATCAAATATCACCACTGATCTACATGTCTTCTATACACTTAGGTAGAAATCCTCCTCCCAGAACATTGTTTCAAAGGTGAAACTTTCCGTACTGCAGTTAGAATGAGTTTAGGAGGTTTTCCTAGGCCTTCTCTGACCGTTGCTGTTGGAACCTGTGTTGACCGTGAGCCAGGCTTCTGCCAACACACTGTGACGACGGAAAGGGCGCTTCGAACATGGAGACGGCAGCAGGACTCTGTCCGTGAGCTGGCCGCCACGGGGAAGCCGCTCTTTACGCAAGAGAGATGTGCTCTGGCCAAGCCTGGCTGTTTTCAAAGCACCCCAGGGAGCAGGAGGCTGGGTCCGCACACACGCAGATCTGGGGCCTGGTGACCTTTCCTTTCCCAGTCTTTGACTTTTTGTTAAGTGTTGTAACCCGATAGCTGTTGTGTTTTAAATAAAAAAAGACGACTGAAAATGTAAATACTTTGTAAACAATCATTTGTACTTGAATAGTAGGGTTTTAAAGGGCATTGATATTTCACCTCACAAAAAGCATAATAAAATGATCTTTTTGTATGTTTTTTCATGTTGTCTTTCATAGAAAACTAGTTGAAGAGCTGGTTGTGTTTATTTCGTTGTAAGAAAACCCACAGGGGACAAGTGGCACTGCAGGCAGAGGCTTCCTCTGCGCCCACGGATGGACACAGCAGAAGGCACGCAGTGGACACCCCTGATCTCTGCAGAGACACCTGGCCCGAGCTCCACAGCCACAAGTGGAGGGACTGGTGTGGTCAGGTGCCACCACTGCCCTGCCCTCTCCTGGCCGGCCGCCCCACAGGCCGGGCCTCCTGGTGGGCCAGGCCCGCCTCCGGCCGCCTCGTGCCTGTGCCTGTCCCGGCTGCAAGCGTGTCCCTTCCGCATCTTCCTCGTCCAGGCTTCTGTCCTTTTGTAAAGAATGTTTCTGGTTACAAAAGAGAAAACAACTCATTTTTATTTAAAAATGCACACTTTGTACACAGAAGTGACCCAGCTGCCTTTAGGGAGTTGGGGGGTGCTCAGGGACAGGGGTGCTTCGTTCTGCTTCGCATAACCTTTTGGTTGTGGGAGCAGTTTTCCAGGCACGTGGTTTATTCTTTAAACAGGGCTCTGAAAGGAGCTTGTCCGTGGCACAGCGCCCCACCCCCTGGAGACTCGTTTGTGGGAGCCAGTCCCGTGGCCTCCCCTGGTCCTGGGAGCTGCCTGGACTCTAGCTCCCAGCACACTGTCCTATTCCTGGGGTGGCCTTCGTTGTCGCCCCGACTTTCTGCGCCATTGATCAAGTTAAACTTTTTTTTTTACTGTCAACAGTATTACAGCTGTCCCCTAATTTCCCCTCCCTTTGCTGCCCTCCTCCCAGCCCCTGCCCACCCCAGGCCTTCACCACAGTATTGTGTGTCCATTGGTCTACCCTGTCTTGGTTGATGTATCTTCATAATTAGTGTTCAGGTTGGGTAGTCTTAAGTTTCCCAGTGTCTGTTTTATAATTCACTCTTTGAGGGCCTTTGTATTTCCTCATGGATTCTAGAACCAGCACCTCAGAGCCCACTGGCTCTTTGGTGCCATTGCTTCACATTGTGCCTGAGCCCAGCCGGTGTGGCTCAGTGGTTGAGCACTGACCCTGCACCAGGAGGTCGCTGGTTCAACTCCTGGCCAGGGCACATGCCCAGGGTGTGGACTTGATCCCCAGTGGGGGGCGTGCAGGAGGCCGCCAGTTGATGTTCTCTCTCATCGATGTTTCTGTCTCTCTTCCTCTCTCTCCAAACATCAATAAAGGGGGGGGGGGATATTGAGTCTTCTGATCCAAGAACACTTACCGTCACGGGTTCTCAACCCATCTGGGTCACATTTGGGGCAGACAGTTCTACAGTGAGGGGACCATTCTGTGCTTTGTCAGCTGCCGGTAGTGGCCCTGGAGACAGTCATTCAGGAGAGGACCACTGACTGTGCACCCGGAGAACAGACTTGTTTTCCCTGAGGAAAGGTTCTGAGTTAGAAATAATGTACAGATAAAAATTCAAACTTTATCTTCTTTGCATCTTTTAGGAAGTTATCTTGCCAAGTTGAATGGTAGAGTTTACCTATTAAGAAAAAGCATTAGAAATTTTGTTTAATGTTTTTGATTTTTTAGAGAGAAGGGAAGGGGGGAGAGACAGAGAGAAACGTTGATCGGCTGCCTCCTGCACAGCGCCTACTGGGGATTTTTTTTATTTTATTATTATTATTTTTTTATCCTCACCGGAGGACATTTTTCCATTTTTTGTTCAGGTAGAGTGGGAGGGAGAGAGGAACAGAGAGAGAGAGAAACACCGATGTGAAAGGAACACATCGAGTGGCTGCCACCCGCACAACCGACCAGGGCCGGGGACAAACTGCAACCGAGGCACGCGCCCTTAGCGGGAACCGAACCCGGGTCTCTCAGGACCGCAGGCCGACGCTCTAACCGCTGAGCCAAACCGGCCAGGGCTGTTTTTGATTTTTTAGAGAGAAGGGAAGGGGGGAGAGACAGAGAGAAACGTTGATCGGCTGCCTCCTGCACAGCGCCTACTGGGGAACGAGCCCAAAACCTGGGCACGTGCCCTGACCGGGAATCAAACCGGGACCTCTCAGTCCCTGGGACGACACTCAATCCACACCATCTGGGCCGAAAAAGCATTTTTAAGAAGAGGCTTATTTTCCCCTTAAATATATTTTAAAAGCCACATATCGATTATAGGACATTGAGAGGGTAAAATAGAAAAAAATCATTATAATCCCCTATGTCACTACCCACCTGTTGACACATTTTCTTGAAGGTTTTCGTAAGTTTATATCTTGACCTTTACATCTGAAATCTAACAAACTCTTACTCTTCATAGCACATTTGTCGCCTGTGCATTGGGCTCCATGGCTGGCCCAGGCTTCCGTCCATCAGTGTCTCGTTTCTGTCCACTGTTCACATGTCAGACATCACATGTCTGAGATCAAGCTCTGGGAAAGGCAGCTGCAGCTCTAAACGTGCCCCCGAATGCTCTGTGCTACAGGATGCGTGTCTGTGACGCGGGGCGTAGGGACCTCCCGGGCTCGGGACTTCCTCGCTGCGTCAGGAGGCGTGGGGGCTGCGGGTAACTGTGCCAAGTGTGGAGTGACTCCAGAAACCGGCCGTCTGGCTTCCTTCGGTGCTTTCCACCAGAGCATGCCACCCAGGGCCACCGGCAGTCACCTCAACCTCTCTGTGACCGCGTTTCCGCAGGCTCGACGTGAAACCTGTCTTCGTGCAGCTCAAACCCAGGGACTCGGAAGTTCGTCCGGATAAGCCAAGCACTGAGCTTGCTCGACAAGGTCCAAGTCTAGATTCGGGGCGAGGCCGAGTCTGGGCAGGATTACCCTGGCCTTGGTCAGGTGCAGCACTTGGCTGCGGAGCTGGAGGCCATGGGGCGGGGCCGGCCCGCCACCTCACAGCTGTGCCGGGTGGGGACGTGACTGTCCTTTCCTCACGGTTGTCTGCCATGTTGCACCCCTTTCACAAGTCTGGCTTCTGCTTTTCCCCACAGATGTCCAGCAAGTTGCTCAAACCCAGCAGCAGACAGGCCAGGGAACAAGTGACCTGTGTACCCCAGCCCGCCCGAAAGAGGCCGTTTCTGACTCCACCTGTGTCCCGGGCGCCCAAGGCCACAGGACCCAGTGGGTGCAGCTGCAGGTCGGCCCTGTACCTTTCTCAAGGTCAAAGTGAGGGGCAGCGGCCACTCTCAGGCCGAGATAGGCGAGATTCACCTTCTGTCTTCCGGTCCTTCCTGCGAAGTGAGGACATGGACGTCAGGGACAGGAGCCCGAGTCCTCTCCCTCGCTCTCTGCTCCGGGAAGGTCGCCCAGCCCTGCCCCGCCAGCCGCCTGCCCGTCTCTGCGTGCCAGCCACACCGGAACTCCCCCTTCTTCAGGCTTAGAGCCTGAGCCTACTCTAAGGTCTGGGCAGGCTCAGGCTCACCTGGCTAGTCCAGCGGGCAGGGCGCTGCACCCTCCTGTCCCCACAACAGTCAGTAAATGTGATCATCGAACTGTGTTTTATTAAAAATTTATTTTTCTTTTTAGAGAGGGAGAGACAACATGTGTATTTGCTGTTCCACTTACGCAGTCACTGGTCGATTCTTGTACGTGCCCTGACTGGGGCTCGAACCTGCCACCTTAGTGGACCTGGATGAAGCTCCAACCGAGTCACCTGGCCAGGGCCAGACTGTCCTGCCAACAAGCCACTGCCCGATCGATGTAGAGGAGTCGGCAACCGGTGTTCCTAGTCACCGCGCCCCCAGCTGCCTGGGCACGTGGGCTTCGGGAGTCACTTGGCAACTCACTCGTCCAACTTGAGGACCTTTTCAAACCCCACAGCAGCTACCCACTCCCAGCCGCTCTCCGCCCGCGCCCCAGCCAGCAACCCGGATCGGATCTCTCCACGTCCTTGGTCTGCCTGCCCGGGGCCCTCCATGTGAACCGCACCCCCAGGACGTGGCCCCGTGCCGGGCTTGTCGCTAGGACATTCAGGTTCTTCTGTGTGGTGGCAGGTGTCCGTGGTCACTACCCTCCAGGCCCCTGTGGACGTCCGCCCATCACAGTGGACGTTCGGATGTGTCTACTGTGTGATTAGAAGTCTTGCTCTGAGCTGAACCTAAGTCTCTGGACGTGCTTTCATCTCTCTCGCACACGTCTAGTCAGGAAACCACGGGGTCACGGCGACTCCGTCCACCGTGTTCCACGGGCTCCCCTGGCAGGCGAGGCGCCACCTCGTGTTTGGACTGCGTTTCCCTGGTGACGTGATGCTGAGCCCCTCCTCGCGCTTGCTGGTCCCCACGCTCTTCCCGGGCAATCTCTCCACGTGCTGTCTGCCCTTGCAGTTTCCAGACTTGAAACGGCTGGTGTTTTTACTAATTGAAGTTGTTTCGTGGGGAAGTGTGTAGAGCTCCCCCGACAACTCCCGAAGTCAATTCCCATCACCTGTAGGTGCCACGACCAAAACCCAGACCCAACTCTGGGCCGTCCACGCACCCGAGGGCGGGCCCGTCCTCGGGCGAGAGCAGGGTGTTGTGTTAACAGAACCGTCCGTCTGGTCTCCTCACGCAGGGGGTGCGGCAGCAGGTCACAGCGGGGCCCAAAGGCTCGACATGGGCCCCGCCATCAGGCCCAAGGCCCGGGCAAGCCCAGCTGGGGACGCGGCGGCCGGCAAGCAGAGTGAGTCCGGTGGAAAGCAACAGCCCAGACGGCGCAAGCACACGGGGCCAAGGGCAGGACGGATGCCAGCCTTCAGTTCTTGGGTCACGTGGACACTCAAGCCGTTTCCAGGAAAAGCACCTGACCAGAGGCTGATCTTGTGCGTCCTTGACCGTCTCAGGCCAGGCCCAGTGCAGTGACAAAGGGCCTGTGTCCCGGGGCCAGGCCTGAGCTGGCAGGTGCTAAAGGCCTTTTCCAGGAAGTGCGGCCCCGGCGGGAGGGGCCTACGCTTGCTGTGGTGGAAAGGCCTGTCCGCCGCCCCAGGCTCGGTCCCGTCCCTTAGGGCCCTGCCTAGGCCGCCTTCCGCCTTTGTTCTTCCTGCAGGAGAAGAGGAGGGGCTCAGCTTGTCTCCCCTCACTAGTGTGCGACCCAGCCCCCCAACTCGAGGAGGAAGACACCCAGCACCCCTCCCGGGCCGTGTGCCTCCCACCCTGAGCCCAGGGCCTCCTGCTCTCCAACCAGGAAGCTAAAGGCAAACCCAGGACTTCATCTCCCTTTCGTCCGCGTGTCCGGATGTGACCCACCTCAGGTGCTCCCTCACCTGGACAGCCCTCTCCAGCTGGGACAGGGCCTCCTCGTACCGCGGGACCAGTGGCTGCAGGAGCTCGCTGGGGGTGTCATGCCGCTGCAGCTCAGGCACCCCCGCCTCAGCCAGCATCCGCAGGAACCTCCTCTCCTGCAGGGAGTGTGCGAGTGGGAAGGGGCCCCACCACCCCCAACCGCCCCCGCTCAGGTCCCCTGCCTGACCTGCACTTTGAGCAGCAGCGTGAAGGCCTGTCCAGTTTTCCCAGCTCGGGCGGTTCTTCCAACCCTGGAACCAAGCACGGGCACCTCCAGAGTGGGCCCCAGCCCCCCACCCTGAGCCCGACATGCCCGCCGGTGTCCGGACCAGCCTCACCAGTGTCCGGACCAGCCTCACCGGTGCACGTAGGTCCGCAGGTACTGGGGGGCGTCGTAGTTGACCACCAGCTGCACGCCTGGCACATCGATGCCGCGGGCGGTGGCATCTGTGCTGATGAGGCTGTCGGGGAACGGGTGGCAGGCCTGCCTGAGGACGGGAGCTGGGCGGCCCCGCTCCTGCCCTACTGGGGACACTGCTTTCCCCCCGCCCCGAGGAAGGAGGTAAATCCTCCAGGGCCAGGAGATGCCAGGAGCCCCTCCCCAGCACTCACAGCTGAATCTTCCCCTGTTCAAACTGCTTCAGAATCGCCTTCCTCCAGCTGGGCCCGTAGCGGGAAGAGAACTCGGCCACTGTCACACCCCCGAAAGCCTGGACTAGCAGGAAGAGCCTGGGGGGAAATAGGTGGGTGGGCAGGAGCCAGCACCAGCCCCGCCCCGGCCCTGCCCCGGCCCCGCCCCCCGCAGCCTCACCTGTGGGAGGTCTCCCGGGAGTTAGTGAAGCAGAGAACCCTGGAGAAGCCCATGTGCAGAAGCAGGTGCAGGACGACCAGCGGCTTGGAGCGCAGGCCGCAGGGCACGTAGTGATGCTGAGGGACAGCGCAGGGGTTGGCCCGGCCCCTCCCCTGCCCGGCCCCTCCCCTCCCCGCCCGTGCGCCCAGCTCACCGAGAGCCCCGCAGGGAAGCTGTACTTCCCGCCCGGGTCCACGTCTACATCCACGTCGGGATCCCCGTGGCCCCCGCGAGCTGGCCGTGTGGAGAAGAGCCGGGGCTGGTACAGGCCGAGCTGCTGCAGCTTCTCGGGGTTCTGGGTCAGGGTGGCTGAGAAGAGCAGTTTCTGCAGGGGCATCTGGGGCCAGCAGGTGCTGAAAGGCACAGACGCTGGGGGAGCAGCCTTGGCTTGGCCCCACCCTCCTGACCCCGAGACCATCCAGGAGCTGCGCCCGGGCAGAGCAGCTGGGGACCAGGCACCTGGCAGCGGTCACAGCCTGGGGCTGCCTTCTCTGGAGCAGAGCACAGGGACCCCCGGCGCCCTCCCTGTGGAAGGCTGCGGCCACCACGCGCGGGAGCCAGGACTGGTGCATGCTGTCTATCATCCGGTCGGCCTCATCAATGACCTGCAGAATGCAGGACCCGGTCTGGTGGGCGAGGTCACGTCAGCTCCAAACCTGGGCCTCCCTCTGGGCGGGAGGGCAACCTACCAGGAAGCGGAGGTGCTGGAGGCTGAACCCTAGGGTCTGGTCGATGTGGTCCACCAGGCGGCCAGGGGTGGCCACCACGATGTCGGCCAGGCAGCGGAAGCCGTCTGCTCTGCAGACGGGAAAGCTCAGCGGGAGCCTCCCTGACCCCCAACACAGGAGCCCGTGGGGCTGGGCGGCCACCTGGCCATGCCTCTCTCGTACCAGCCCCCCCAGAGCCCACGCCCAGCAAGACCCCATGCCCTCCTGTACCAGCCCCCCCAGAGCCCACGCCCAGCAGGACCCCGTGCCCTCCCGTACCAGCCTCCCCCGAGCCCACGCCCAGCAGGACTTACGTCTTCTGGACGAGACCCTCCTGCTCCCTGGCCAGCGCCTTCTGCCCCGTGACCAGGGCAACGCGCAGAGGAGTGGCCTCCGTGTAGATGTTGAACACCTTGCTCACCTGGGAGAGGACTGTGTCACTGGCCTGACCTGAGGCACCACACCAGCGACAAGGACCCTGGGTGGCCCCCAGGCATGGACTTCACGTACCTGCTGGGCCAGCTCCTTGGTGGGCAACACAACCAGGGCCCGGACCTGGCACACGGCTCGTGGCAGCAGGGCCTGGGGCAGAGGCCACCGTGTCAGCAGGCCGCTGGCCCCTGCCCGCCAGCCTGCGTGGAGGGTGATCCTCACTCACCTGCACCACAGGGAGGACGAAGGCCAGTGTCTTCCCACTGCCCGTCGGGGCAGAAACACACAGGTCCCTGGGCTGGTAGCCGCCTCTACCCACAAGGAACCCGTTGGCCGCACTCTCTAGGAGAGCAGGAATGACTGCTGCCTGGACTGGGGGGGAGGGCAGTCAGACTTGTGCAGGGACAGCCCAGCCTGTCAGCACAAGGACCAAGGCCAATAGTGACCTCCAGGCTGGGCTGCCCCGCTGCGCGGCCGGGGGACCCTGGCCCCTGCCCGAGGCTGGAGCACCTGGGAAGTAGGAGGAGATGCCATGTGCCCGCAGCTGCTTCCGCAGGTCAGGGTGGACTTCGGGGATGTCCTCGATTGGTACCAGGTCTTCGGTGACATTCCTTTTGACACAGCTTGGCTCGGCCAACCACGCTGGCAGGAAAGGCTGGACCTGTCGCAGAGGGTAAGAGAAAGAGGCCAGGTGACTGCTCCAGAGCCCTCCTGGCCCATGGAGCAAGGCCGCAGAACCCAGGCTGAGGAAGCTGCAGGGAGGGAGCCTGCTGAGCATTTGCCTAGTGTCCTGGCTTCCCCTTGGTTCCCCCGACCCACGCCCCACACAGCCTTTGAGGAATTAGGGAACATGCATCAGAAAGTGCCACTTGCTCCCATCACTAACCGCACCCAGCCACACACCCTCTGCTCTTACACACCAGGCTGCCGCTGCCTCTGCCTCACAGCTGCCCACCCGCCTGACCCAGCTCAGTGCAGAGGGGCCGCCACACACGCCCCGACAGAACAAGGCCTTTAGTTCGTGCACCAGCTTCTGAGAATCTCCCAAGACAAAGGCTCGACTAGCCCAAAACCCTGGAACTTCCCGTTCTATTCTTGGACCGGTGAACAGATTTCACCAATACATTAAAAAGATCACACACCATGATCGAGTGGGATTTATTCTTGGGATGCAAGGACGGTTCAATATCCACAAGTCAATTACCATGACGTACCCTATAAAATGAAGCATAAAAACCATATAATAGTTATCAATAGATGTGGAAAAAGCACTTGACAAAACCTAGCATCCACTTAAAAGTTCTCAGTAAAATGGTATTAGAGGAAACAGACCTCAGTGTAACCAAGGCCATACATGACAGGCCCACAGCTAACATCATACTTGATGGGGAAAAACTAAAACCATTTCCCTTAAAATCAGGAACAAGACAGGGATGTCTTCTGTCACCACTCTTACTCAACATAGTACTGAAGTCCTAGCCACAGTGATAAGACAAGAAAAAGAAAGAAAAAGCATGTAAGTTAAGAAAAATGTAAAACTATCATGTACTATATATAGAGTACCCTTACTCCACCAAAAAAACCCTACTATAACTAATAAATACACTTAACCAAGTACACAGAAGACCTGTATTCTGGAGACTATAAAATACTGGAAAAAACCCTGAAACCAGAAACAGAAACGTATACCACGTGCATGGACAGGAAGGATTAACATCATTAAGATGCTATATCACACAAAACACCCCTCAAGAGAGAGCTGAATAAAGACGTGGTGCGTCCATGCAATGGAATGTGACTCAAGACACAGCAGATGGTCTATCCAACCATAATTATGACCCTGGAAAATCACTGCATGCGTCCCAAGGACATTTCCCACTTCCTTTAGGTCTATTTGAAGTACGGCAATTGGACTTTATCCAAATACCACCATCTTGAGGATATAGATATGTTATGATTTGTATGTTCTCTCATTCGGCTGAAGCATCAACGGCCTTTCTGTCCTTCCTAGTATTGGTATAAGCATAGTTCCGCGAGACCAAAGGATGATCAGAATGGCCCTCAACTGATTTGTGACCAAAAGAGGGAAATGAGAAAGGAAAAGGTGTCTAAGCTGCTGCCCCGACTTGACCGGTAACGGAGGAACACCGTGCACTCCTAACCAAGGCCTTCCTGGGGCTGGCCAGGTTCCCTTTCCAACAGCCCCAATGACACAGAATCGATTACAGACAGCAATGCCTGTACTTTCTACACAAACGTAGAAACAGTGGCTTCCACACCCCTTCCCACAACTCCTGACTCCAGGTGCTGAACGCTCTGCCCTGCTGCACAGTAAGGTAGGCAACGCACACAACGCACCACCACCACCACCACCACCACCACCAACCCTGCGGAGGCACCGCTGCTCCTCCGCCCTCCTGCCTGTGAGACTTCGGGGAACTCTGCTCTGACACCTCAGCAGAGGGACAAGTGAAAAACCCTTTAATCTACAAACGTTCAAGGCTTCCTTTCGTTGACCAAGACAACGTATTTTTACAATTGGAAGTAAAAATGCTGTTTGCCCAGGATCCAAGCCATTTTTCTTAACCTGCAAGAGACCAGCTGAGGCGCGATCACGCAGTCACTCCCTGGGAAGGTGTCGTGACAACCACCGAGGGCGCAGGCTCCCTTCCCGCAGCTCCCGGCCCCCTTCCCCTGCTCCCTGCTCCCGGCCCCCTTCCCGCAGCTCCCGGCCCCCTTCCCGCAGCTCCCGGCCCCCTTCCCCAGCTCCCGGCCCCCTTCCCGCAGCTCCCGGCCCCCTTCCCCAGCTCCCGGCCCCCTTCCCGCAGCTCCCGGCCCCCTTCCCGCAGCTCCCGGCCCCCTTCCCCAGCTCCCAGCCCCGCAGCTCCCGGCCCCCTTCCCCAGCTCCCGGCCCCCTTCCCGCAGCTCCCGGCCCCCTTCCCGCAGCTCCCGGCCCCCTTCCCCAGCTCCCGCAGCCTCCCCCGCGGCCGCTCACCTTTGGGGCCCTGCTCTTCCCGAAGCCCCCGAGCAGCAGAGCGTGGGCTGGGGGCCCGGAGGCCTCGTCGGGGGACCCCGCGGCCTCGGCGTCCACGCCGCTCTTCCCCGGCGCCTCCTCGCTGCCATCTGCGGGCAGAAGCGGGGCGGGGACGACGCGTCAACCCCACGCGGACCCGGTTCCCACGGCCGCGCCCCGCCCGGCACGGTCCCGCCCGGCCCACCTGCGCCCGCGTCCTCGCCGTCCCCTCTCGGCCGCTTGCGGCGCGGCGCGTGCGGGCTCCCCGGCACCCCAACGCCCTTGCGCCTCCGGGGCCGCCGCCGCCGCCTCCCCGCCGCGCCCTCGGTCTGCGCGGCCGCCTCGGGCTCCTGCTGCCGCTGCCGCTGCCGCTGCCGCTCCCGGGCCTGGCTCTGCAGCCGCTCCAGCAGCGCGCGGGCCCGGCCGTCCTTCCCGGCCTCGGCCTCGGCCTCGGCCCCGGCCGCCTCGGGCCCCGCGTACCGCGCCACGTGGAACAGCGCCATGCTCGGCCCCACGCCTCGGCGGCCCGGCGCGCGGCGATGACGGCGCAGGCGCAGGCGCGGGCGTGACGTCAGTGCCGCGCCGGAAGCCCGGAGTCCGGCGCGTGGAGCCCGGAGTCCGCGCCTGGAGCCCGGAGTCCCGCGCGTGGAGCCCGGAGCCCGCGCGTGGAGCCCGGAGTAGCGCCTGGAGCCCGGAGTCCGCGCCTGGAGCCCGAAGTCCTGCGCCTGGAGCCCGGAGTAGCGCCTGGAGCCCGGAGCCCGCGCCTGGAGCCCGGAGTAGCGCCTGGAGCCCGGAGTCCGCGCCTGGAGCCCGAAGTCCTGCGCCTGGAGCCCGGAGTAGCGCCTGGAGCCCGGAGTCCGCGCCTGGAGCCCGAAGTCCCGCGCCTGGAGCCCGGAGTAGCGCCTGGAGCCCGGAGTCCCGCGCGTGGAGCCCGGAGTCCCGCGCGTGGAGCCCGGAGTCCCGCGCCTGGAGCCCGGAGTCCTGCGCGTGGAGCCCGGAGTCCGCGCCTGGAGCCCGGAGTCCCGCGCGTGGAGCCCGGAGTCCCGCGCCTGGAGCCCGGAGTCCCGCGCGTGGAGCCCGGAGTCCCGCGCGTGGAGCCCGGAGTCCCGCGCGTGGAGCCCGGAGTCCGCGCCTGGAGCCCGGAGTCCCGCGCGTGGAGCCCGGAGTCCCGCGCCTGGAGCCCGGAGTCCCGCGCCTGGAGCCCGGAGTCCGCGCCTGGAGCCCGGAGCCCGCGCCTGGAGCCCGGAGCCCGCGCCTGGAGCCCGGAGTCCTGCGCCTGGAGCCCGGAGTCCGCGCCTGGAGCCCGGAGTCCGCGCCTGGAGCCCGGGGTAGCGCCTGGAGCCCGGAGTCCTGCGCCTGGAGCCCGGAGTCCGCGCCTGGAGCCCGGAGTCCGCGCCTGGAGCCCGGGGTAGCGCCTGGAGCCCGGAGTCCGCGCCTGGAGCCCGGAGTCCGCGCCTGGAGCCCGGAGTCCGCGCCTGGAGCCCGGAGTCGCGCGTGGAGCCCGGAGTCTGCGCCTGGAGCCCGGAGTCTGCGCCTGGAGCCCGGAGTCCGCGCGTGGGGCGCATGGAGCGGGCCCCCGGGCGCCGGGCTCTGGGCCGCCTGCTGGAGGCGGTGCTCCGGAGCCGCGCCGAGGCCAACGCGGTGTTCGACATCCTGGCCGCGCTGCAGGTGAGGCGGCGGCTGCGGCGGGGTCGCGGGCCCGGAGGTCAGAGGGGGGCCCCTCGGGCTGCCAGGCGGGGTCCAGGGTTTTTCTGGGGCCCTCTACCGCGCAGGGCTCCCGGACCGGGGTCCGGTGCGAGGTCAGGCAGAGGCGGGAGAGTCGCGCGCAGCCCGGCTGGGGTTCGGAGGGGAAGGCGGGTGGGGCCGCCGCTGCGCCGGGCACCCCGCGACCGCCTGTCCCCGCAGGCGGAGGAGCCGGAGGAGGTCCAGGGCGCGGTGCGCGTCTGCAGCCGCCTGTTCGGGGCCTTGCTGGAGCGCGGTGAGCTGTTCGTGGGCCAGCTGCCCCCTGAGGAGACCGTCATGGCAGGTGAGGGTTGGGGGAGGGCGGGGCGGTCTCAAGGTGGGATGAGCCCCCCACCTCATCGCGGGGCGCACAAGCGGTGGGAGAGCGCGCTAAGCTTAGGGGTGGGGATGGACACGTGTGCTTAAGCAGCGGGGCACAGACTCGATGAAGGTTGAAGGACGCGGGGTTTTTGTGATCATTTTGATCCAGTCGCGGGTTCTATTCAACGTCAGCGGTCAGTACCCCAGGACAGGGCTACGGGGATGTCCAGGTCCTGGGGGAAAAGGAGGAGATGGGGCCCTGCCTGTGGGGCGGAGCTGCTCTCCCCGGCGGGGGAATGTGCTGGTCCCCCCAGGTTTGAGGCCACAGTTCCCACACTCTTCTCTAGCTGGGCTGGGCAGAGGGCGGTGGGCAGCGGCACCCACGTGGGCTGACCACCCTGCCCCACTGACAGGGTCCCAGGGGGCCACTCGGAAATACAAGGTGTGGATGAGGCACCGTTACCAGAGCTGCTGCAACCGCCTGGTGGAGCTCCTGGCCCACCCCTCCCTTCAGGTGAAGGTGAGTTCTGGGGTCCCTGTCCTTGCCTCCTCCAGGCCTGAGTGCTGGGGGAGCTTTGTGGGCCAGTCCACAGGGGGTGGTGAGGGGTTGTGGGGGCACCTCGGCCACTCTGCCACCCCCTTCCTAGGAGCTGGCCCTCAGTACACTCATGAAGTTTGTGAAGCTGGAAGGCACGTACCCCCTGGAGAAACCCAAGTGGGAGGGCAACTACCTGTTCCCCCGCAAGCTTTTCAAGGTGAGGGGGCAGTGGGGGTCCCGCGGAACCTGTGGCCACAGCCCGGATGGGTGGCTGTTGGATGGGATGCTCTGCCGCATCCAGCCTAAGGGAGGGGCGGGCTGCCAGCTCGGGGTCTCCTGGGCGCAGAGTCCCTCACCTCCTGCCCCTCGCCCAGTCGGTGGTGGGGGGCCTGCTCTCCCCGGAGGAGGACTGCTCGCTGCTGCTCTCCCAGTTCCGGGAGCACCTGGAGCACGATGACATTCGCTACCACGCGATGCAGGCGGCCTCAGACACCATGGCCCGGGTTGCCAACGGACACCCTGAGGTGAGCGGCCAGGCCCCTACCTGGGGGGGGGGCAGGGGCCTGAGGAGCTGGGTGCTCAGGCCAGGTGTCTGCAGGTACCTCTCACCTTCTGGAGCAATGCCTTCACGCTGCTGTCCGCCGTGAGCCTGCCCCACCAGGAGAGCGGCATCTCGAACTTCTACGTGAAGCACGCGGGTGAGCGTCCAGACGGGCCTGCGGCGGGCGGGCGGGGCACCAGGCCTGCACCCTCCGCCTCACGTGCCGCTGCCCCTCCCGTCTTCCTTGCAGAACTGTCAGACAAGTGGAAGGTCACTCATCTGAAGGTGAGACCCTCCGAGGGCGGTGGCCTCCCGGGGAACAGGCTCTGTCCTGGGGTACCACCTGCCACCAGACACAGACAGCATGTGTGGGGCGTGGGGAGAGGGTCAGCCGCCTCCTTACCTGCTCAGGCCACCTCCCTGTCACTCACTGGGCCCAGGGAGAGAGGAGGTCAGAGGACACTGGGGTGTCCTGTGTCTGCCCTGTGGCTGCTCGGGGGGCAGGGTCTCCCCTCACCCTGGGGAGCTGGCTCGGGGGCAGGGGTCCTCCTCACCCTGGGGAGCTGCTCGGGGGGCAGGGGTCCCCCTCACCCTGGGAGCTGCTCGGGGGCAGGGTCCCTCCTCACCCTGGGGAGCTGCTCGGGGGGCAGGGGTCCCCCTCACCCTGGGAGCTGCTCGGGTTCTGCCCCGGGTACCCCGGCTCACATGTGGCAGGAGGCGGGCGGGGCGGGGTGGGGAAGGATGGGGGCCTGGGCAGCGTGTGCAGCCTGGACGCCCTCCCACCCCTGTAGGAGCACAGGAAGGCCTTTCAGCTGATGTGGCTCGGTTTCCTCAAGAACAAGGTAGGGCCTGGTGGGGGGACGGGCGCCTGGGTCTGGGCCCCTGGCCTGTGCGGGGCGCACCACCGGGCGGGCTGCACCTTGACCGGCTCCTCCCCACAGCTGCCCCTCAGCCTCTGCAAGAAGGTGCTGGTGATCATGCACGACTCCATCTTGCCGCACCTGGCCCAGCCCAGCCTGACCATCGACTTCCTCACCCGGGCCTACGACATGGGTGAGCAGGGCGTACCCTGAAGTGCCGCAGCCGGGCTCCTTCCTCTGCCCCGGTGAGGCGCAGGTGGGGGGGCGGGCCAGCCCGTGGGCAGCTGGCCTGTGTCCTGGCGCACGGCCTCCGGCTTTTCTGCACCGTCCCCGGGTGGTGGTGCAGGTGGGCTGGGGCTCATGGCCGTGTGTCTGTCCCAGGTGGGGCCATCAGCCTCCTGGCCTTGAACGGACTTTTCATCCTGATTCACAAGCACAACCTGTGAGTGTCCGTCTGGGGGTGCAGGCCTCTGCCTTGTCGGGAGGGTGCTGGGCCCCGGCTGTGGCTCCCGGAGCCTGGCTTGTCTGTGTGCTCCAGGCCTCCCCCACCCGCGTGCCCCCTCACCCACCCTCTGCGCCTCCATACGCCCATTCCCTCGCGCTCTCCCACCCACAGGGAGTACCCTGACTTCTACCGGAAGCTCTACAGTCTGCTGGACCCGTCCATCTTCCACGTCAAGTACCGGGCCCGCTTCTTCCATCTGGCCGACCTCTTCCTGTCGTCCTCGTGAGTGTCCGGCATGGCCCCCGGGCTGCTGTCCCCCGGATCCCAGCCGTCCCCGCCGGGCTGCAGACGGGCCAGGAAGGGCTGGTGTGCGGGGTGTGGGGTCTCACACGGCCTTCCTGCCCAGCCATCTCCCTGCCTACCTGGTGGCCGCCTTCGCCAAGCGCCTGTCCCGCCTGTCCCTGACGGCACCCCCCGAGGCCCTGCTCATGGTCCTGCCCTTCATCTGCAACCTGCTGCGCAGACACCCGGCCTGCCGGGTCCTCGTGCACCGGCCGCGGGGCCCTGGTGAGTATGCCGCCCTGGGGGCGCCCCTCAGGCCCGTGCCGGAGCCCGTGGAGACCAGGTCTGGGTCTCGTTCCTAGAGCTGGACGCCGACCCCTATGACCCCGGTGAGGAGGACCCAGCCAAGAGCCGAGCCCTGGAGAGCTCCCTGTGGGAGCTGCAGGTGAGGGCGCCCCAGCCGCCGGGCACGTCCTGGCCCTCGAGCTGCCCCTGCCCACACACCCACTGCCCTGTTCCTGCTCCTTCCGCCCGGCCCCTCCTCGCCGATTCCTGTCGCCCTGGGCACCTGGGGGAACCCAAGCCTCTGTCTAGAGTTGCCACTCTGTCCCCAACACGGGCAGTGGGCAGTGACGGCCGCGTGCCCCTCTAGGCCCTCCAGCGGCATTACCACCCCGAGGTGTCCAAGGCTGCCGGCGTCATCAACCAGGCGCTCACGGTGCCCGAGGTCAGCCTCGCGCCCCTCCTGGAGCTGACCGCGTTCGAGGTGAGGGTGCAGCGGGGCTGTGGGGGTGGGGGCGGGCTCAGGGAGCTCCCACGTGGAGAGCGTCCACCGCCCATCCGTCCGTCCATCCGTCCCTCACAGATCTTCGAGCGGGACCTGAAGAAGAAGGGGCCCGAGGCAGTGCCCCTGGAGTTCATCCCACCACAGGGCCTGCTCGGCCGGCAGGACGACCTCTGCGCCCAGCACTTCACCCTCAGCTGACCCTGGCACCCCTCTCCCCAAATAAATGGTTTCGTGGGAGACCGACTCACGTGGGCTGCGTGGGTGGGCTGGCTCCTTCCCGAGGGCTGTGCCCACAGGGCCAGCACCCTCAGAGGGCGCTCTCTGTCTCCCTGCCGCCCACACCCACCCGCCCCTGGGCACCTGGCCCTTGGAAAGTGCTGGCTGGGGGCCCTCCCTCCTCCAGCCTGGCGGGGAGGCCCGCGGTGGGCTTTGCGGAGCACAGCGGGACAGGCGATGTGGGTGACCAGGGCAGGGCCCACCCAGCGAGACCACCAAGCTGGGCCCTCCCGTGTGGTGTGCTGCATCCCCGAGCTGACAGCTTGGCTCGGCTCAGGCGCCTCCCAGGAGGCCCCTCCAGGGGAGCAGTCCCAGGCCTCCCTCCGTCCCTCCGACGATGAGGACGGTCTTCCTGCTGTTGTCAGTCTGGCCCCCTCCCTCTGCTCGGCTAGCAGCTGCCTGTCCACGCAGCCAACAGCGTCAGGTCCCATCCTCTCATCCTGGCTGGGCCCTGACGACACCTACCTCTGCCTGCTTGGCACCAGCCAGCCCAGGAGGCGGGACCCTGACCAGCAAGCCCCACGCCCGCCATGTCCAGACGGGCTCGCAGTGGGACTTGCCTCCGTGGTGAAGCACAGACGGGCAGTGTGCTGAGCTGAGCCTGCCCGCCTCGGGCCCTGCCCCGCTCAGTGACGCTCCAGGGGCGTGCGCCCCGGCCTGTGCCCTTGTGTATCTCCCCCTGACCTCCAGTGTATTGTGGCCAGTATTACTGACCAGCTGCTCTGTGGGGGGGGGTCTGCCCCCAGGTCCTGGCTGCACCCGGGGCGAGTCCTCTCCACGGAGCCTCTCCCTCCGTCTCCCATCTGTCTGTCTCACGCTGTGCCTGCCGCCAGGAGGTAGCCGGGCTCCCACAGTCCAGTCGGTTATGTCCGCGAGGAAGGGTGTCTGCTGAGATGCGGGGGCGGGGGGGCGCCCGCGATGGGTATCAGCCGCTAGATGCTCAAGTGTTCGGTTGTCATTGAGCAGATCAGCTGCAGACAGTTAGATGTCAGGAGGCGAACTTCCCGCGCTGTCAGGAGTGGAGCTGAGATGCTTTTCTCTGGGCCTGAGGACACGGCAGCTGGTGGGGGTCACGGCCTCTGGCCGGCGGGGCTCCACGCTCACTTGGGGAGCTGCGTGGCCCCCGTACCTCGGCGGTCTCGTCCACAGGGGCTGTTCCTAGGGGCTCGTTCAGCTGGCACAGGGCCAAGCTCTGGGCAGGCTGCTGGGGCACAGCCGTTGAGTAGAGCTGCCGGGTCAGCAGAGGCTGCGGGTGTCACGTCATGAAGACGGGTGGGCACAGGGACGGAGGTCAGGAGAACTCGAGGTGCAGGGCGCCCCCCTTCCCCCCCGTCCTTGGACACACTGCTGGGCCTTCTCAGGCCGACTCCAGCACAGGGCTTCCTGGGTGTGCGGCCACTGCTCCGGCGGACGCCTGCGTGTGGCCTCTGCCCGGTCTGAGCGGCTGTGTGTCCGGAGGGAGGTGGAGGCAGGCGTCTTGGGTCTTCTGAGCACCTGGGAAGCTGCGGCTGTCAGAACCACTCAGCGGTGCAGGAGCCTCCCCAGCTCGCTGTCCTGGGTTTGTTTCACGTTCGCTGTTGCTCCGGGCTCTGGTGTCTGTTCCTGCAGGTGCTGCGGGGGGCAGGGTGGGGGCTACCCTCAGGCGCCCTCAGGCCCTCACCACGTGGCCTGGCCCTCGGCTGTGCTGGGCGCCTGGTCGGGGACGGTGCTGGTGTTGGGTGTTCTTTGGGTCAGGGAGACGTGTCTGCCCTTCAGGTCCTTCCCACCCTCCACCTGCGCCCCTTTGGGAGCTGACCAGCACGGGCTGTAATCTGGGCTTGGCCAGTGGGACGGCCTCGCCCAGCTCTGTCCCGCACAGAAGCTTCCGGCCCGACGGCCCCTCAGCCCAGGCCGCAGCTCCCGCCCAGTGACCGTCCACTGACTCCGGTTCTCGGTTCTGGAAATGGCCCCTGTGGGCTGAGGGAGGTGTGGTGCCCTGGCCTTCTGCAATGGAGCCTGGTGACCCCCACCCCCCGTCCACCCACCTCTGCCACCAGGGCTGCAGGCTTGACAGATAGCCCCCCCCCCCTTTCTCTATTCCTTCTTGCCTTACTCGTGAAACCTGGGTGAAGGGCAGATGACAGCAAATGGGGGGCACAGGGGAGGGGACCTGGCTTGTGTCCGCTTGGATCCTGCACCAGGCTGGAGGTGCCCAGGGCTGAGCTGTGGGGAAGGTCTGTCCCTCCCACGAGGGCCCGGCGGGAGGGGTGCCTGTGTTCTGCCCTCTTCTGGGCTCAGTGGGGATTTATGAGCCTTCACCCCGACCTTTCCCCGCGCCTCAGGGCTCCGGGTTATTAATGGGCCCCAGTGGCCCCCTCACAGGCCGGGTAAATATATGGCTGCAACTCACTCAGGTTCCAAGTCAGGAGGCCCTTGGCTCGCGGTCCGCAGGCCTCTGCTAGGGCTGGAGCTCCGTGGCCAGGACAGCAGATGAGGGTTCGAGGTCCCTGGGACCCTCAGAGGAGAAGTGACTGTGAAGGACACTGAATAGTCACCTAACTCGTGTGTGGCCACCCCGACCTGCAGGCAAAGGCTCGGCCAGATCTTGGCCTTCCTCTGAGGGGGCCAGGACCAGTGGGCCTCAGCGCCCACCCTGTGTGCTCAGGTCTGCTGAGTGAGGGGCCAGGAGCATCAGACACCCCAAACCCTGACACTTCAGGCCGCCTCCCCCTCTGGCCTGAGGGACCGCCCCACTCCCAGCCCAGCAGGGGTCCCCGAGGAAGCCCACCAGCACCTCCTGTTGCCCCCCAACAAATCCCAGCTCCTCTTGTGGGCGTCCCAGACCCTGAGTGATCACAGGCCTCGCTCCCACGACGACATCTCCAGTGAAGCGTCTGACCCCTCTCTGGCCGTCCCGAAGTCTGGGCAACATGAGCGGTGACCTGTGCTCGAGCCCCGGGCTCCGCGCCCCTCGAAGCGGGGTCCCCAGGGCAGCATCCCATCCCCGGAGCTTGTTAGAAACGCCAGTGGTTATGACTTCAAATCGTTGCTACTTGTGAGAACGTGAGCCTGCGTGTCTAGCGGTGCTGCTGTGTTCACCGCGTGGCTTCCGTGTGGTATCCCAGGGCCCCATCCGGAGGAGTGGCTGGCCCCTTTCCTCTTCGATTTCTTCTACTTGGTTTTTAGATGTTCTCTGTGTTTTTGATATGGTTCTTTGTACTATGTATTAAAATATCTTTTTGTCCTAAGATTCAGAAGAAATGCAAACTCGGGCCCCACCTGGGGGACTGGCTGTGATCACACAGGCTGACTGGAGGCCCGCAGAGGGCTGGGGTCCCCCCTCCCCGCTCCACCTGAGCTCCCAGGGCTGGGCCTCTGCAGGCAGCGGGGAGCCTGTCTTGGTGGGGGCCGGAGTTTAATAGAGGGGTTTAGCAAGAGGCTCCACTTGTCCAAAAGCTGGTACCGGGCAGCCGTGGACTCGGGCCCTTCCTGGGAGTAAGGACGTTTCCTGAAGCGATTACACGTCCTGGTCTGGGACGGACAGGGAATTAGGTCGGGGTCAGAGGTGCAGAGGTGCTGGAGGAGCCAGCAGGAGGCCCGGACCACTGCCTGGCTGGATGAGAGCCAGAGAGCAGCCTGCACGTGAGGCCGGGCGCAGGCCACCCGAGTGGAACCCGCGGCCGTAGGCTGTCACCGCGATCCGCCTGCTCAAGGGGCAGGTTGAGGTGCCGGGTCTGGGGCCTGACGAGGCCCCTGCTCTGAATCACAGGTGGGCCCCTGCCAGGGACCCCCACAGGCAGGACCTCTTGGTGACCCACAGTGGACCCCAGAGCTGCCAACAGGCCCAAGAGTGCCCCTTGGGGTCCCTTCAGCCCAGCAGACCCCTCAACCCCCACTCTACTCACCCCAATTTTTAAAATAATTATATTGTTACAGAATAATATAGAATAACTATAGAAATAACTATAACTTCATTATTTTAAATGAGTAACAGCTGTTATAGAATTATTCATTATAAGTGTATTAATAGTTATGAATTATATAGTTATTATAACTATGTAATTGATAGATTGTTAATTTATTTAAATCCTATTATTTGAGCAATGTAATAAAATGGTTACTAGAGATATAACTACCATTATAATTGCAGGAATATTGTTTTTTATTACAGGTAGAACAGAAAAGCAAAACAGACACAGAACATCTTGAAGTCACTACTGATACGTAATCACTGTGGTGTTTGGGTAGATTTGCTAATATTTTTGTATTGTCAAAGGGTCTCTGCCACCAACCCAATGCCAACAGGAGTCCCCAATCTGGGTGCAGTAAAAGGAGAGGTTTTATTCGGGTGCAGAGCTTGCAAACCAGGGCGACACAAACACCTGCTCCCGGGAGACGAAGGGGAGGCTCATCTAGAGAAAGTCCACCCTGCCCCTCGGGGTCCATTCCTGTGCAAATGAGGTATCCAAACGTGCAGTCTGATTGGCCCAAATAGCACTGTCCTGATTAGTGGTTATGGAGCCACTCTGACTGGTTAGTAGAGATGCAAATGAGGATATAGCTGCTCCGCTCCAATTGGACAGGGCAGGACTCAGCCCATTGGTTGACTGCAATTCCAGGAACTCCTTTATAAGCATTGTGGGGGGGCCACAGGCATCGGTCTGAAGTGCGCCTCCGTGGCAGGTCCATCTTTCTCGGAGTCAACAGCACACATACAAACACGTTTTATTTAGTAAGCGGAATTATACTTTGTGCACATTGTAAACAAAAACTTTCTGTTGAGATAGAATGTACATATTATAAAATGTGCATTTAAAACGTGGTGTTTTTGCCCTGGCCGGTTTGGCTCAGCGGTTAGAGCATCGGCCTGCGGTCCAGAGAGACCCGGGTTCGGTTCCCGCTAAGGGCGCGTACCTCGGTTGCAGTTTGTCCCCGGCCCTGGT